GAAAGCCCAAGTTCCAGCTGGGCGCGATGGTTCACACTTGTAATCCCAGCACTTTGGCAGGCGGAGGCAGGCAGATAACTTGAGGTCAGAAGTTCGAGACCAGTCTGGCCAACATGATGAAACCCTGTGTCTATTAAAATACAAAACTTAGCCAGGCGTGGTGGTGCATGCCTGTAATCCCAGCTACTTGGGAGGCTGAGGCAGGTGAATCACTTGAACCCGGGAGGCAGAAGTGGCAGTGAGCTGAGATCACGCCACTGCACTCTAGCCTCAGCGACAGAGCAAGACTCCATCTCAAAAACAAAACAAAGCTAGAATTAAATTCCATTGCTGGATGGGGTGGCTCACGTCTGTACTCCCAGCACTTTGGGAGGCTGAGGTGGGTGGATCACCTGAGGTCAGGAGTTCAAGACCGGCCTGGCCAACATGGTGAAACCCGGTCTCTACTAAAAATATAAAAATTAGACTGGCGTGGTGTGGTGGTACATGCTTGTAATCCCAACTACTCAGGAGGCTGAGGCAGGAGAATCGCTTGAACCCGGGAGGCAGAGGCTGAAGAGAGCTGAGATTGTGCCACTGCACTCCAGCCTGGGCAACAGAGCGAGACTGTCTCAAAACAAACAAATAAACAAGCACCAGTCCTGCCTGTGGCCTACAAGACCCTGTGTAATCAAGCTTCCTTGGGCAACCACTCCACTTCCATCACTCCACTCAAGCATGCTTCTTTCCTTCTTGTTCCATGAACGTAACAAGTGCATTCTCGCCAGGAGTCTTTGCACTTGATTTTGGCCTTCCCTGGACCCACATTCCCCAGGAACCCACAGATCTCCCTCCCTCACTTCCTTCCGGTCTCAAGTCAAATGACTTCTCTTTCTGAAATGGCAGCCTGACCCAGCACAGCCTGACATTGCACCCCTCTGTGGTTCCTTCACTGTCAGAGGTCATGTGTTTGCTTGTCTTTCGGATCGTTGTCTGTCTCTTCTGCAGAACGTCAGCTCTGGGAGGCCAGAGAGTGATTTTTGGGGGGCACTGCTGTGACCCTGGGGCCCGGCATAGGCCTGGCACACAGAGGTGCTCAGTGAGCATGTGTTGAATTCTGGTGTTCTGGTGGGATCCAGGAGCTGGGTGGGGAAGTCTGAGAGAGTGAACTCGAACTCAGGTCCTACTTGTTTGTTTGTTTGTTTGTTTTTTGAGACAGGGTCTGACTCTGTTGCCCAGGCTGGAGTGCAATGTTTCAGTCTCGGCTCACTGCAAACTCCATCTCCTGGACTCAAACGATCCTCCCACTTTAGCCTCCCGCGTAGGTAGGACTACAGGCGCACGCCACCGTACCTGCCTAATTTTTGTATTTTTTGTAAAGACAGGGTCTTGATACGTTGCTGAGACTGGTCTCAAACTCCTGGGCTGAAGCCATCCACCAGCCTCAGCCTCCCAAAGTGCTGGGATTACAGGCATAAGCCACCGCGCCCGGCTCGGTCCTACACATTCACCATGGTTGAGTGCCAGTCCCTCCTAAGGGTGGTCTTTGTGTCAAATTCCTTCATTGTTTCCCAAACTTTAGAGGTTTGCCTACAACCTTCAGGACTTTTGTCCTGTCTATGAGTCACCTGCAACATGTTTATTGAATACATTTTAAAAATCAATTCAGTTGATTGATTTTTTTTTCTTATTTATTTATTTATTTATTTATTTTGACTTAGCCTCATGTGAAGCCGGTTTGGCATTCTGGTTTCCTGTTGTTCTGGCGCATACTAAATGAAGCATACACAGTAGCGTCACAGTGGCTCCCGGGGCCCTCAAGCTGCACTTTGGGCAGAGCGGGGTTACTCCCCGATCCCTGGTTATTGACAATGTTCTGCTCCTCTGGGCGAAGTCCTCCCAGGCCAGACCTGCTGGAGCCAGGATCTGTCGTCGGGGGACAGGTGTGTCAGGGCAGGGCTGGTGAGCATGTATGCAGCGGATCTGGAAGAGGCTTCCCTCCCGGCTGCCGAGAGGGCCCTGTGTATCCCCAGCCCCATCTCATGCCTCTCCGGCCTTGCTTCAGCTCCTCGAATTTTGCAGTTTTGCTAAACATGTTCCCACTTGGGGCCTTCACACATATGTGAGTTTCCTTCCATAGGGAAGCCTCCCCTGGCCCCTCAGACCTCAAGTCACACTTAGATTCTATGCTGTAAAACAGCGGTCCCCAACCTTTTTGGCACCAGGGATCGGTTTCATGGAAGACAATTTTTCCATGGACCTGAGAGTGGGGAGGGAGCTGGGGATGATTCAAGCACATTACATGTATTGTGCACTTGATTTCTATTATTATTACATTGTGATATACAATGAAGTAAGTCTACAACTCACCATCACGTAGAATCAGTGGGAGCCCTGAGCTTGTTTCCCTGCAACTAGACGGTCCCATCCGGGGCTGATGGGAGACAGTGACAGTTCATCAGGCATGATCTGTGAGTACGCAACCTAGATCCCTCGCATGCACCGTTCACGATAGGGATCGTGCTGCTACGAGAATCTAAAGCTGCTGCTGATCTGACAGGAGGCGGAGCTCAGGCGGTCATGCTTGCTCGCTGGCTGCTCACCTCCTGCTGTGCAGCCCAGTCACTAACAGGCCACAGACCAGTATCAGTGTGTGCAGTACAGCACTGGGGACCCCTGCTGTAAAAACTCTGAGCTAACCCTTGGGAGCAGGTGTCACAGTTGTGGTTTGATATGTGCATGAGATTCTTTCATGTCCTTCTCCCTGCAAGACTGTGAGCCCCGTGCGGAAAGGGCATGCACTCTGCCAGCTTGGACAGGCCCCACAGAGTGCCTCCCTTCCCACTGCCCACGGCCTGGCCCCCACCCATGTCTGCTTTCCTCCTGCATGTGGACTTCCCGTCCCAGCCAAGCAGCCCCATGTCACCTCCCCTCCCGACCTGGTTTGTTCATTCCTGCCTCTAGGCCTTTCTTTTGGTCTCTGTGCTGCGTCCTCTGCCTTCTTCAAAATGCAGGGAGAGGCAGGGCATAGTGGCTCATGCCTGTCATCCCAGCACTTTGGGAGGCCGAGTTGGGTGGATCACTTGAGGTCAGGGGTTCAAGACCAGCCTGGACAACATGGTGAAACCTCGTCTCTACTAAAAATACAAAAATTATCTGAGTGTGGTGGGCACCTGTAGTCCCAGCTACTCAGGAGGCTGAGGCAGAAGAATCGCTTGAATCTGGGAGGCAGAGGGTGCAGTGAGCCAAGATTGTGCCACTGAACTCTAGACTGGATGACAGAGTGAGACTCCATCTCAAAAAAAAAACAAAAAACAAAACAAAACAAAAACCAGGCAGAGCTGCCGTATAGGAAACCCTGCCCTCACTGCTGCAGCCCACGGCTTAACCTTACTGCTCCTCCAGCACCCGAGCTCTGTGAGCAGCCTTTGGTTCTCACCAACACAGCCGTGTAGCACAGCGTCGGAGTGTGGCCTCTGCAGCCAGTGGTTGGGGCTCAAATCTGGGCTCCACTGCTAACAGCTGGGGACCGCGGAACTGATATAACTTCTCCAGGCTTCAGCCGCTTGTTCTCAAACATGCACGTGCATCAGAATCCACCAAGGACTTCTCAAAACACAGATTACTGGGCCCCACCCCAGGGTTTTTGATTCCTGAAGTCTGGGGTGGGGGCTGAAAATTCGCCTTTTTAGCAAGCTCCCTTGTGCTGCTGATGCTGCTGCCTAGGGACCACACTTTGAGAACCATTGTCTAGTTGTTAGGGAAGGTAAATGAGGTTAATGGAGATTAATTAACGCAAACTGGGTAGAATCATAGAAAGCGTTCAACAACTGTTAGTTACTAATCCCATTTACACGAGACACTCTGGCCCTTTTTTACTTCCTGACAGGTATTATAGAAAAAGTGCAATTGATACAAAAATTAGCTGGGCGTGGTGGCAGGTGCCTGTGATCTCAGCTACTCGGGAGGCTGAGGCAGGAGAATTGCTTGAACCCAGGAGGCAGAGGTTGCAGTGAGCCGAGATCGCACTACTGCACTCCAGCTTGGGCGATAGAGCGAGACTCCATCAAAAAAAAAAAAAAAAGAAAGGAGAAAGAACGAAAGAGAGAAAGAGAAAGAAAAAAAGAAAGAAAGAAAGAAAGAAAGAAAGAAAGAAAGAAAGAAGGAAAGAAAAGAAAAGAGAAAAGAAAAGAGAAAGAGAAAGGAAGGAAGGAAGGAAAGAAAGGAAAAGAAAGAGAGAAAGGAAGGAAGGAAGGAAGGAAGGAAGGAAGGAAGGAAGGAAGGAAGGAAGGAAAAGAAAAGAGTGCATTTGAATCAGAAGAATTGACCCCAGGGCCTGGCCACACCATTTCTGAGCTCCGGGACCCCGGGAAAATCACCTAACTTCCCTAAGTCTCAGCGTTCTCATTGTCACAGAGTTGTCCTCGGAGACCCTTCTCAGGATAGCCTGAGCCTCTGGAAAGTGCTTGGTATACAGCTGGTGCTTAATTAATGTTTCTTGAACTGAATGTAGGGATGTGTAAAATTTGCTGACACTGCAAATTGCAGCATGAATATGAGAGATGGGGGTGAAACCAACATGGGCTCGTGAGACCTACATCTGCGGCTCACACTCCAAGCTGCAGGGACCAGGAGGTAATCTCAGTGTAAGAAGCCGGCCAGGTGTGGGACAATAGGGAGTGGTGGGGACTGTGGCCAATGCACAGGACCCTCCCTTTCAGCAAGCCATGGCCACGTGCAAGTGCAAGCCTGGTGCTGTCAACTGATCTGACTGCAACAGAAACCAGCATGAGGATTTTTATGTGAAATCACCCAGAAGTCAAACCAGACCCAGCCTGCAGCTACCAGCTCAGAGTGGGAGCAACTTAATGGCCACTGACCCTGGGTTCAAGGCTAAAATCCCTGGACCCTTGCCTGCACACCAGGCTCAGCCGAGGGCAAGGAGAAATTCTGTCATCGTTCTGTAGACGGTGGGATGGCAGACTGCCCAAAGACGGGTCAGAAAGCATCAGGATCTAGACTGGCTTTAGCTTCGGGGCATTTATTTCATGTCCCTTTTGTACAGGCCCTGGGGCCAGGTGTCGGGGCAGGAGACCAGGCAGGAAGTAGCAATAAATAACACGGACAGACAGAGCTCCTCTCCGGACAGATGAGGGTAAAGGTGGTTGGAGAGGAGCCGTAATGAGGGCGTGGGGGTGTTGGCAGGGAGGGGCAGCTGGGAAGGAGGGGAAGGTCAGGTCCCCAGGACCTCACTGTCACCTGCCTCATTCCCCTCCTGCCCCAGCCCCCGCTACTTTTGGGAGGAAGGGAGCCCGCAGCCAGTGGGGGCCAGCGAGGGTCCTGAGGGGGGTCAGCCACATGGGCTGCCCCCAGCTCCTTCACTTGACCCGGATTTCAGCATACTCAGCTAGCTCCTCCGTCAGTGTGTAGCTGTCCTTGGTGGGCCGTTTCCCCAGGTCCGAGTGAGAATAGCTCAGGTCCAGCTCTGGGGGTTCTCCCCGAAGGCCCAGCAGCCTCCTCTCAGATCCCAGGCGCCTCTCGCTCTAGGAGGGGAAATCACCCATTAGCAGGGTCCTGCTCCCTGCCTTTTCCCCATGCAGAGGCCAGAGTATTTGCACCCTCAGAGCTCCTGAGTTCCGTACCAAGTAAATCCCTGTGTCAACCTCCTTTCTCACGGACCGCAGGCCCAGCAGGCCCAGCAGGCCCAGCGGTCACCAGGTCCCACTCTGGAGCTTCTGCCAGTGTTAATCATTGCTGAGCTTGAAATCTGCCTACAAATTCAGTCTATCCAGGAAGCTTTCTTCTTCTTTTTCTTCTTCTTCTTTTTTTTTTTTTTTTTTTTTTTTTTTTTTTGAGACCCAGGCTGGATTGCAATGGCTCAATCTCGGCTCACTGCAACCTCCACCTCTGGGGTTCAAGCGATTCTCCTGCCTCAGCCTCCCGAGTAGCTGGGATTACAGGCGCCCGCCAACACGCCTGGCTAATTTTTTGTATTTTTAGTAGAGATGGGGTTTCACCATGTTGGCCTGGCTGGTCTCGAACTCCTGACCTCAAGTGATCCAACCACCTCAGCTTCTCAAAGTGCTGGGAAGCCACCTAGTCAGGACCCCATCTTTCCAAATTCCTGGAAATACCTGGTTTGGTACGTATCCCCCATGTTTAGATCCGGCATGGGTTCCCCCTCCATCTGGGAGGTCCTGCAAGTGACACGTGGGTTCCCCTCATGCTTCCCACCCCCCAGTCACAGGAATTTGGACACACAGGACGGGGGCCACAGACAGAAGGGAGCTGCAACAGGAGAGACTAGACAAGGCCAGCACCGCCGGGCAGGCCCAAACTTCACCAGAGACCACCTTGACACCTGACAGGGACACACGGACATGCACGCCAACCCCAGGGCCCAAGGAGGGCCCAGAGGAGGGCACACTGAGGCCCCCGGAACCTACCTCCTGGGGCGCTCAGTGAGAATCCAGGGTAGAGACCTCTTTGGACTATTGGAGAAGGAAATGCAGTCACAGACGCAGGCAGGAGGAGGGAGGGGTTCCTTGGGCCCCACGTCCCATCGCCCCCTACAGAGCTTCAGCCTGGGCACCTCCTCCCCAGCCTCCAGGTCCAACCCAGCCCTGGAATGTCCTTCCTCTCCTCCTCTGAGAGGCCACCCCACTCCCCTGCCCCTTGGCCTCACAGGCCCCTCCCAGGCCCTCGGTGATCCTGGTATCCAGGTTCCCAGGCCAGCCTGGCGCTGCAGGGCTCCGGTCCTTACCTCGTACTTCTCTGGTGCCCCCGAGATGCGGAAGTCGCTGCTGAACAGGACGGCAGGGCTGTCCCCTGCCGAGAAGCTGGGGCTCTCTGTCACGTTCTTTCTGTAGGGCGGGACTCGTCAGACCTCCCTCTGCCCTCCCTTTCTGCACCCCCATGTGTTTTAGGAGTTCGGCTCAGGGGACCTCAGAGTTCTCCCACCCATCTCTAAGATGTGGCAAGCAGCCCTTTCAGAACCAGCCTCTCCTGCCCACACAGCCCATCCTTCCCACCTCTGCGGCCCCTGCCTGGCTGGGGATGAGCCACCTGGCCGCTGGGCTCTGCTGTTTTTCAGGACCCCCGTCTGGATTCTCCAGGTTCCCCCTCATAGGCTCTGGGTCTGTCTGCCCCTCTTGCCGCCAGGATGTGGAGCAGAGAGGTGAATTTATTTCTCAGGACAGCTGATGTGTGTACACCACAAGGAAGAAACACAGCTGCAGTTCAGTTGGGCCAGGTAGCTGTGGTTTGGGGCTGGAGAGGTTTTCTGTCTGTTTATTTGTTTGCTTGTTTGTTTGTTTTTAGAGACAGGGTCTCTCTTTGTCACCTAGACTGGAGTACAGTGGTGAAATCATAGCTCACTACAGCCTCAACCTCCCAGGCTCAAGCGATCTTCCCTCCTCAGCCTCTGGAGTAGCTGGGACCACAGGCCCGTGCCACTATGCCTAGCTAATTTTTTCATTTTTTTGTAGATGGGGTCTCCCTATGTTGCCCAGGCAGGCCTCTAATTCCTGAGCTCAAGCAATCCTTCCACCTCAGCCTCCCAAGTAGCTGGGACTACAGGTGTGTGCCACCATGCCTGGCTAATCAAAAAAAAATTTTTTTTAGAGATGTGGTCTTGCTGTGTTGCCCAGGCTGGTGTCAGATTCCTGGCCTCAAGCAATCCTTCCGCCTTGGCCTCCTAAAGTGTGGGATAACAGGTGTGAGCCAATGCACCCGGCCAAGGCATATATTTTTTGCCACAGATGTGTGTAATCTTTGGGGCTTCTGGCGTCAAGTGGACCTGCTGTTGTGGCTGTAGGGGGTACCTGGGCTTTCCCCACCACACTGGAGTGTGTAGCGGAGAGTTACTGGAGATAGGGTGGCCGTCAAAATAGAATGTGGGGAAACAGGCCTCAAATGATGTGTGTAAAGGGCTCAGCCCAGGCCCTGGTGTGCCCCTGACCAGCAGGGGCTGGACTTAACAGGAACCCTCTCTCCTCTGTCCCGCTGAACATCCCAGAGCAGAATCTGCCTTCTCTACACTTAGGGCGCTGCCTTCCCCCGCCCACTCCAGGCCTCCATCTCCCACCAGGTCCCCTTTTTGGATCATCCCCAGATCAGCCCCGGCTGGCACTCACTTCCTGCGTGTCTGGGTAATGTAGCAGACGATGGCAATCAGGATGGCAAAGGCGACCACAGCGCCCACAGGCCCGATCTTGGCCCACATCAGTCGATCTGAGGACAGAGAAGACCCAGGCGCCCTTAGGGCTATGGGTGGTGGTGACAACACCTGAGAACTTTGGAGACGTGCTGGGGTGACAGTCAATGTATTCACGCAGCCGGGGCATCCTTGCACTGACTGACTGGCACGGAGGCTCCTGGCGCCAGGGCAATCCCTTTTGTGCTGGAGAGGCCCTGGGGAAGGGCTCATACCGCCAAGGTCAGAGCAAACTCGGGGCAAACTCAGGGCGGCTTCTCCTCTCCACCCGGAAAGGGAGAATTTGACCTTTTTCTCAATCTGCATAGCCCATGCTCTGTGGCTGTTGGTCAGCCTTGGGAGCTTGGATCCAAGAGGAGCCCGCTGCCTCCTGTGGCTCCCACCCCAAGTCCATGCCACTCACGGGCTCCCTGGAAGGGCAGCTCCAGGCTCTTGGCGCCATAGAGGTTCCTCGCGGTGCAGATGACGCGGGGCGGGGCCTGGGCCTGCCCCCGCAGCGTGAGGATGCTGGTGAGCACCAGGCCGCTGCGCTCGGAGTACACGAACCCCCGCTCGCTCTCGTTCACGGTCACATTGCGCGACGGCAGCTCAAAGGCCACGGATGGCTCCGGGTTGGACTTCACCACGCACAGGCACTGCACCGTGTCTCGGGCTGCCGCGCAGTGGGACTCCAGGAGGAGCACAGGAGCGACTGCAGAGGCAAAATCAGGACTGAAGGTGGCCAGGAACCAACGAGGCCCGGCCCGGGAGACTCCTTGGCTCAAGGCAAGGCCAGCGTGGCCAAGGATGGGGGCGGTAGCTTCAAGTAGAGCCCTCCAATTTCCCCCTCCTTTTTTCTCTGTCCTGACTGAGAGTGCCTTGACCTCACTACGACCCTGCCGGCTGCCTGTTTTCACTGCAAGCTTCACTAACCCACGCCAGGGGCCTTGAACATTCCCAGGCACTGATAAAGGTGTTTAGATTGTTGCTCAAAACACTAAAAGAGGTCGAGCACGGTGGGTCACAGCTGTAATCCTAGCACTTTGTGAGGCCGAAAAGTGGATGGATCACCTGAGGTCAGGAGTTCGAGATCCTGGCCAAGATAGTGAAACCCTGTCTCTACTAAAAACACAAAATTAGCCAAGTGTGGTGGTGCACACCTGTAGTCCCAGCTACTCGGGAGGCTGAGGCAGGAGAATCATTTGAGCCTGGGAGGCAGAGGTTGTAGTGAGCTGGGATCTCGCCACTGCACTCCAGCCTGGGTGATAGAATGAGACGCTGTCTCAAAAAAACCCCAAACAACAACAACAAAAATGAAAGAATGAAAGAAACCAGCCCCAGCCCTGGGCCAAATTCCTTAAACCCTCATGTAAACCCATACCCTGACCCTCACAGACATGTCTGGGTAGAACCTCCCTTTCTCTCACTGTAGCACCGTGCCAGTTCCCCTCCCAAATGCTTTGGACTGGTGATCACCTGGTGTTTAGTGCCTCTCTCTTTGGAATCCCAAGTGGCCTCATTTCAGGATGGTTTGGGGTGCTCTCTTGGGGCGATTCTTCTGGTGCCGCTTTTGAGGTGACTCTAGCCTCAGGTTCGGCCTGGACGGAGCACTATGTCACAGGGATGGGCTGTTTCTCCTGGGCCCTGGCTCTTTCACTCTCTCTAACCTCATTCACTTTGAAATACATAAATCAGATCACAGCACTCTGCTCAAAACCCTCCTTCTGTTGCTCCGCGATTCACCTAAAATACAAATCCTTTATTTTTTATCGTTTTGAGACAGGGTCTGGCCCTGTCGCCCAGGCTGAAGTGCAGTGGCAGTACTATAGCTCATTTGCACTCCTGGCCTCTAGCGATCCTCCCGCCTCAGCCTCCCAAAGTGCTGGGATTACAGGCATGAGCCACTGCACCCAGCCACATTCGACCACTTTTGACATGCAGAAAAAATTTCACATAGTTCAATGTAGTATATACAGCAAAAAGTACGAATATTCACCCTAAATGAAATCAGTACAGATTGCAAACAGCCTTGTGTTCTTTAGGGCAGATTTTGCCGTCAAATCAGGGTGTTGCCAAAATTGCAAAAAGCCTTTTGATTTTAAAGCTTTATGTTCAGAACTGCAGAGGACGGTAAATCCATCTTACTCATGACAGTTACTGGAGGGTTTTTGTTTGTTTTTGTAGAGACAGGGTCTTGCTATGTTCCCCACGCTGGTCTTGAACTCCTGAGCTCAAGCAATCTTCCTGCCTTGGCCTCCCAAAGTGCTGGGATTATAAGGTGCAAGCCACTGTGCCCAGCCCAAAATACAAAGTCTTTCATCTACAAGGTCCCTGAGGCCCTGCCTGACCACATGCTCTCTCCTTCTCTTCCCCTGGCTTAGTCCTTTCCAGCCACACCGGTTCCTTGCTGTGTCTCAAAATCGTGGAGCTTTCTGCCACTCCAGGATCTGTGTGTTTCTCCCTCAACCTGGAACACTTCCATCAATTGCCTGTGGAACGCCCTCCCTCGCTCCACATCGGCCTCTACCCACGCGGCATCTCCTTCTCTGACCACGCAGGGAAGCTGCACCTCGCTCCATGCATCATTCACTCCCTGCCTAACTCAGCTCTCCTCTGCAGCACTAACCCTCCCTGCATCACACGCTGATATAAGGGGCCCCCTGTTTTCATCAAGACAGGGGCTTGCTCCATCTCCACTCTGGGCCTCACACGTAGAAGGGAGGAACTATGGAAATCTCCCAGCCCCTGGTCTCCCCAGACCCTTGGGGCTCACAAGGTTCAGACTATCCCTTCCTTTCTGGCTTCCAGCCTCTGCTCCTTCCTTTCAGTCCCTGCTGCAGATGCCCCCTACTTCCTCCCCTAAAGCCCCCTTGAACCCTGGCCCCCCCTCACCCATGGGATTCCCTTCTGCCACTAGCACCAAACACCACCCTCCACCCAAAGTCACTTGGTTGAGCTTTGCTTTGCTGCCACTGGATTACAAAAATAGTACTGGTAGGCTTTTTTTTTTCATTTTCAAAAATAGGAAATTATTATTATTATTATTATTATTATTACTATGATTTTTTGAGACGGAGTCTCTCTCTGTCGCCCAGGCTGGAGTACAGCGGCGCGATCTCGGCTCATGGCAACCTCTGTCTTCCAGGTTCAAGTGACTGCCCCGCCTCAGCCTCTTCAGTAGCTGGGACTACACGGGCGTGGTGATGCCCGGCTAATTTTTGTACCAAAATACGAAACTGTTTCCCAGCACCGAATGCTGCTTTTTAAACTATGTTCTCTTTCTCGGCCGGAGAGTCCAGCACCCTCCTTGGCTTGCTCTAGACTGAGCACGGGTTCTCAGTGAGTTCTTACCAAAACCCACTTCCACACAGGCAAGAGACCCTCGGCTCACCTACCCCACCTATTTTCAATTTCCAGCAAAAAGAATGTGCGGGTAATGGTGGTGAGAGTCATACGGGCACACGGATTCACGGCAGGGATGGGAACCTCTGTGCATACGTCTCTAAGTCTACTAAATAAAAAGTCCTCTTCGGGCAGAGATGCAATATGCTTGCTATAGCGTTAACCAGCTAACACACCATAGAGTACATTAATAACAGCGAACCTGAATGGACAGACTTAAAACTTTTTCAAAGCACTTCCACTCAAGACAGCATCACTGGTGCTCTGGTGACAAAGTGTCCGACCTGGATGTTGGCGGAATGCCGATACCCTGCTGGTGCACGTGCTTAGTATCTTTGCAGGCAACCTGTGAAGCTGCAGAAACTTATGGGGCTCTAGACAAACCTCAAAGACAAAGGTACAAAGAATGAGGAGTTTGCAATGGGATGGATTTGGCTTGAATCCCAGCTCTGCCATCTACTGGCTGGATGAGGCCACTCAGCCTCCTGGACCTACAGGATGGAGTTCTCATCTATGCAAACCAGGGGGTTACAGTCAGTAACTCACAAGGGGCTACAGGACTCCGAAGATAGGCGCGCAAGTGTGTTGTAAACACTTAACATCCCATCCGGGCGTGGTGGCTCACACCTGTCACTCCAGCACTTTGGGAGGCCAAAGCAGGAGGATCACTTGAGCCCAGGAGTTTGAGACCAGCCTGGGCAACAGAGCAAGACCCCATCTCTACAAAAAATTAAAACATTAACTGGGCATAGTGATGCATGCCTGTAGTCCCAGCTACTCAGGAGGCTGAAGTGTGAGAAACAGTTGAGCTCAGGAGGTTGAGGCTGCAGTGAGCAATGATCAAACCATTGCATTCCAGCCTGGGCAACAGGGCAAGACCCTGTCTCTAAAAAATAATAGTAATAATAAATATGTTTAAAAAATAAAATAAAAACACTTAACGTCCCACCCAATTACTCATGGGTAGATAGACAGAACCATTCCAGCCGAGGGGTCACATGAGCAAAACCTCAGCAGCAGAACACACACAAATATTTAACCTGGAGTCCAAAGGAAAAATCAGTGAGAAAGATGATGACATCCAATATCCACAGAGTACGTAGCACTATGAACACTCAGTATTGTTCTCTTAGTTCTTCTTTTTTTCGGGGGCAGTGGAGGGGTGGGACAGAGTCTTGCTCTGTCATCCAGGCTGGAGTACACTGGCTCCATCTCAGCTTACTGCAACCTCCACAACCCCCAGGCTCAAGCGATTCTCCTGCCTCAGCCTCCTGAGTAGCTGGGACTACAGGTCTGCACCATCACGCCTGGCTAATTTTTGTATTTTTAGTAGAGATGGGGTTTTGTCAAGTTGGCCAGGCTGGTCTCGAACTCCTGGCCTCAAGTGATCCACCTGTCTCAGCCTCCCAAAGTGCTGGGATTACAGGCGTGGGCCAGCATGCCCAGCCTAATTCTCTTAGTTCTCACAGCCATCTTTGTGGTAAGATACTGTTATAAACCCTTGCTAAGGGTTGCAAAACTGAAGTCACTTGCTTGAGCTCTTGCAGGAGGATGGGGACAGAGCTGGGATTCTGGCCCAGGTCTGTTCAGCCGTATTGGGACTGGATGCCAGTCAAACTTCTGTTTCCTTGTATTAAACTGGGGTGAAGAATGGTATCCTCCCCCCAGTCACATGGTTGTAAGAACAAAATAGGTCAATATGTGCAATGTGGCCGGGCGCGGTGGCTCAAGCCTGTAATCCCAGCACTTTGGGAGGCCGAAACGGGCGGATCACAAGGTCAGGAGATCAAGACCATCCTGGCTAACACGGTGAAACCCCGTCTCTACTAAAAATACAAAAAAATTAGCCGGGCGTGGTAGCGGGCGCCTGTAGTCCCAGCTACTCGGGAGGCTGAGGCAGGAGAATGGCGTGAACCCAGGAGGCGGAGCTTGTAGTGAGCTGAGATCGCGCCACTGCACTCCAGCCTGGGTGACAGAGCAAGACTCCGTCTCAAAAAAAAAAAAAAAAAAAATTTGCAATGTACTCAAGCTAGTTCCCTAGACATCTCAGGCACTCGGCAAGTTTGCACGCTTCCTACATGCCCCGTGCCATTCAGGGCTCTGGGGTGGGCAGGTAGGACAGAAGGCCCTGCTCAAGGGTCACCGCCATTGTCAGTGAACATTGGAGCCCTGGTGCCAGGGAACATTAACTGTATGCAGAGGGAGGGAGCCTGAGGGTCACACTCTCCAAGGGCAAGCACTTTGACACAGCCCTGGGTGAAGAGTGGGGAGCTGGCAGGTGGGGCAGGGGACAGGGCCACTGCTCCCCTCAATTCCAGCAGGGTGAGGCCTGCACACTCCATATCTGCCTGTGTGTTCGTTTTCAAGAGAAGCCAGATTGAGTCCTGGAGTGCTAAGAGCTGTGAGGGAGGTGAGGCAGCCAGAGGTTTAACAGCTGGGGCAGACAGGAGTCTGGAAGTATCGGGCTCGGACCAATTTTATAGCTGCCTGGCCTCAGGGAATTCCGCCCCTGAGTTTTCTCCTTGGTGAAGGGGAGAATGATAACACACCCCTGTTTCACAGGGTGACCCTAGGATTGAAACTGAACCAGATAGGCCGGGCGTGGTGGCTCACGCCTGTAATCCCAGCTCTTTGGGAGGCCAAGGCGGGTGGATCACTTGAGGCTAGGAGTTGGAGAACAGCCCAGGCAACATGAAGAAACCCCATCTCTACTAAAAATACAAAAATTAGCTGGGCGTGGTGGTGCACGCCTGTAATCCCAGCTAGTTGGGAGGCTGAGGCAGGAGAATCGCTTGAGCCTGGGAGGCAGAGGTTGCAGTGAGCCAAGATCGTGCCCCTGCACTTCAGCCTGGGCGACACAGCGAGACTCAGTCTCAAAAAAAAAGAGAAAAAAGAACTGAGCCAGAAAACAGCTGTAGGGGATTCAAGGTCTGGCCCAGGGCAGGCCCCTAATGCCCGCTTGCTGCCCACTGCTCTTACTATAAAGGAGAGATCTGCGCCCCACCAGAAAATGTATGCGAGGTGGTGCTGCATGCTTGCTCAAGTGCTCCCATCACCTCCTCTCTCTGACTCTTAAACTTAAGAATCACTGGTGTGGGGTGTAGCAGGGGACAGGGGACAATAAGAGGGGGAAGCTGGCCCAGGATGGCACGCACAGATGGAGGGAGCAGGGGACCACGCAGTCCCGCACCAGGATCACATCAACCCCACTAGGGAACAGAACCAGGAGGGAAAGTGCCCAAAGATTATAGGTCAGCAGGGAAGGGACGGCTTTGCCACGAGAGGTGGCCCCACAGGACTAACCTATATCTGCCATGTACTGATTGTCACCATGTACACAGCACAGAGCATATACCGTGTAGCAGACACTGCATTGAATTCTTTGCATGTTGAATGTCATCAAACTTTCTGACAAATTTGTGTGGTGGGCGCCATTATGGGCATCGTGAAGACCAGAAAGGTGAAGTTTAGAGAGGAGTGCTAGAAGCCAACAGGAACTTGGGGGGAAGCAGGGGAAATGGAAACAGGAAGGCGACATTCCAGAGGGAGTTGCTTGAGGAAGGGGAGTCAAAACTGTGACTTGGCTGCTACAACCTGGAGTGATGGCTGTGGCGGTAGGGGTGGTGGGAGATGGTGGCACAGTCCATAGTGAGGAGATGAGAAGCGCTGGCCAACCATGCAATGGTGAGTTTCATTTCCAAGACAGTAGCTTTCTATGTGCATCTATGTCATCTCTTCCAGCTCTTCTCTACCTGTTCGTAAGCGTGGTGTCTTCTCAGCCCTATCCTCCACCTTTCACAGAGCCACACAGTCTTTTGTGTATAACAACTACCCCATCAATGTATTCTGCTGTCATAACATAGGATGAGGTCAGCCTTGGGCAGGGAAGAAGAATGGAACCAGACTGCCTGGATTCAAACCTCAAATTCTGCCATTTCCTGGCTGTGGGGACTTAGGCAAGTGGCGTAACCTCTCTGGGTCTCAGCTTCCTTCTCCATAAACAGGGGAACAGTAATAGAACCTCCCTCATGAAGATGTCATGAGGATGAAATGAGTGGGTTGCTGTACAGCGCTTCCAACAGTGCCTGGTACATAGCGACACTCTACACAGGTTAGAGATCATGGTCATTGTTTTGGTTAATGCAGAGGGGCAGTAGCCACAGGATCCAGAAATTTCATTGGTCAAAAGTCCACCCCAGGCTGGATGCGGTGGCTCACGCTTGTAATCCTAGGACTTTGGGAGACTGAGGCGGGCAGATCATCTGAGGTCAGGGGTTCGAGACAAGCCAGGCCAACATGGCAAAATCCTGTCTCTACTAAAAATACAAAAATTAGCCAGGTGTGGTGGCTGGTGCCTGTAATTCCAGCTTCTCAGGAGGCTGGGGCAGGAAAATTGCTTGAACCCAGGAGGCAGCGATTGCAGTGAGTGGAGATTGCGCCACTGCACTCCAGCCTGGGTGACAGAGCAAAACTGTGTCTCAAAAAAAAAAAAAAAGGAAAAAAAAGGTCCACCCCTGGATGTGGGAACACAGTATTCTCAGATGGGATTTTATATTCCTGCTGTGAATTCAGCTTCCCTTCCTCGTCTCTCCGGAGGACAGGCAAAGCCAACACTGATTGGGATGCATGGGCACCCACAGTAACCCTGGTGTCCCCCACGGAACCATCCATCCCCGGCATAGGGGAGTGAAAGTTACTCACACTTCACAGCCAGGTTGAAGGGGAGTGGAAATTACTCACACTCCACAGACAGGTTGAAGGGGAGCGGAAGGTACTCACACTCCACAGACAGGTTGAAGGGGAGCGGAAGGTACTCACACTCCACAGACAGGTTGAAGGGGAGCGGAAGGTACTCACACTCCACAGACAGGTTGAAGGCGGTGGCCCTCTGGCCATACTGGTTCTCAGCCACGCACCAGTACTCTCCATCATCCTCGGGCGACACGGCCGGCAGCTCCAGCTGCAGCTCGCTCTCGTAGATGACTGTAGCCAGGATCTGCTTCTCCTTGAAGATGGTGAGAATAGGGTCCGGGTTGCTCTGCGTAGAGCACAAGATAGAGACTGTCTCCCCCTCTACGGCCACCATGGTCCCGTTCACCGTCGGCTTCCAGGGTGCATCTGAGGGGTGGGACGGGACTGATGGTCAGAACCCAGTAGATGTTTCTGCCAGCCACCCCCAGATAGGACACCAGATCCCACCCCAAACCTAGCACACCAGTTCAGGAAGGCTCAAGTGACCCCAGTCCCGGCTATCTCGTTTCCAAGAACAGCAGCTCTGTAGCCAGAGTGCTTGTCTTCAGATCCCGACTCTACCCCTGCCCAGTTGTGTGTGGGCCCACGTCTTAACCTCTCTGGGCCTCACTTTTCTCATCTGGAAAATGGGCTTTATAATAGTTCCATCTTCATAGGGGCAATCATCTAACATTCACTGAGAACCTGCTGAGTGACAGGCATTGCTCTAGCTTGAATGCCTAAAGCATGTGGAAAGAGCAGATGTACTTAAATAAAATATATACTTTGTAAGATGGGAAGAAGTATGTAGAGAAAAATAAAGGGGCTGAGGGTATGGCAAATCAGGGTAGTTATAGTTTGGGATAGGATGATGGGGGAAGGCTTCAGCGAGCCTAGGAGGTGGGCAGAGCCAGCCATGGGAATACTGGGGGGAAAAGGGCATGTCAAAAGCACGCAGGAGGCCAGGCATGGAGGTTCATACCTGTAATTCCAGCACTTTGGGAAGCTGAGGCAGGCAGGTCCCCTGAGGTCAGGAGATCGAGACCAGCCTGACCAACATGCTGAAATCCCGTCTCTACTAAAAATACAAAAATTAGGCCGAGCTCGCTGGCTCATGCCTGTAATCCCAGCACTTTGGGAGGCCAAGGCAGGCAGATCACGAGGTCAGGAGTTTGAGATTATCCTGGCCAACATGGTGAAACCCTGTCTCTACTAAAAATACAAAAATTAGCCAGGCGTGGTGGTGTGCGCCTGTAATCCTAGCTACTCGGGAAGCTGAGGCAGGAGAATTGCTTGAACCAGGAAGTGAGAGGTTGCAGTGAGTCAAGATTGCGCCACTGCACTCCAGCCTGGTGACAGAGTGAGACTCTGTCTCAAAAAAAAAAAAAAAAAAAAAAAAAGCCCGCAGGAGCTATGGAGCAAATGTTGGCTGGGGCTGTCATTGTTAATATCCCCAGTGCTGGGCACTTTGCCTCAATACACATTTGTGAATGAATGAATGAAAGAATGAATGGTCTCTCCTTGGTTCTCAGCTAAGAATCCTCTTCTGACCAGCTCCCTTCTTGCAGGCCCAATAATATAAATTTGCATACAAGGGGCTGGATGAGGCCTGAAGTCCCCTCAACCCTCTCATTAGAACTACAATGAAATTCATTTAAAAATGCGGATTCCTGGCCAGGCGCAGTGGCTCACGCTTGTAATCCCAGCACTTTGGGAGGCTGAGGCGGGAGGATCACTTGAGCCCAGAAGTTTAAGACCAGGCCAGGGAACATATCCATTCTCTGTCTCTACAAAAAAATAGAAAAATTGGCTGGGTGTGGTGGCTCCTGCCTGTAGGCCCAGCAGTGCAGCAGGCTGAGGTGGGAGGCTCGCTTGAGCCCAAGAGTTTGAGACCAGCCTGGGCAACATAGCAAGATCCCAACTTTACAAAACAATTTAAAAACTAGCCTGGCATTTGGTGGTGGTGCACACCTGTAGGCCCAGCTGCTTGGGAGGCTGGGGTGGGAGGCTTGCTCGAGCCCAGGAGTTTGAGGGCAAGGGGTGCTATGATGGCACCACTACATTCCAGACTGGGCAACAGAGCAAGACCTTGTCTCCAAAAAAATTTCATAAAGTAAAATTTTCTGGGGCCAGGCCCACACCAAGTCCCAGAACAGCCAGGAGCTGCCCTCAGGAAGCTGCAGCTAACAGGCTTCCCTAGGAGGCAGGCCTGGGTCTTATCCTGGGAAGGAGGGTGAGGCAGAGCAGGTGTTCCCCAGATTCTTGTGCAAAGAACGAAGGTGCACATTGACCTGCAACCCTCCTGTCCACCTTGGTCTCGACTGTGTTTATGGCCCGTCCCCTGCGGGGCTCAGCCCCTAATCGCCCTGGATGAGGCCTCTTCCCTTTGTCTCTGGGCTGCAGGTGGGCGTGTGGACACACAGGGCAGGCCACTCACACATGACACTGAGCCCCACGGTGCGGTTGTCCTGGCCGTAGGCATTCTCGGCCAGGCAGGCGTAGACGCCGTCCTCGGCGGGGGTCACCTCCTCCAGCTCCAGGAGCAGGCTCTCGGCCACGGCCTCCCGGAGCACCGTCCCGTCCCGCATCCAGGTCAGCAGCGGCGGCGGGTTGCTGTCAGCCCCACAGAGCAGGCTCACGTGGGAGCCCTCGATGGCTTCCACCGAGGAGTTCATCTCCACAATCACCGGGGGGTCTGAGGCCCGCGACACAGCGACTTTAGTGAGCAGGTGCTGGGGACTCGGCCCAGTGCCCTCTCCCCGCCAGCCCGGCCCAGCTTCCAAAACTGCCCGGCCTCGCCCTCAGCCTTGGCCCCACCCCGGGACTGCCTGGTTCCGCCCCCACCCCACCCCCCAATCCCTGTCTGGCCCTGGCCCTGGCCCCGCCCCCATCACTGCCCGGCCCCATCCCCAGGTCCATCCCCTCCCTGGGCCCCGCCCCACCCCGTCCCACCCCGCCCTGCCCGCACCCAGGCTCACACTTGACGTCCAGGCTGGCGTAGCCTTCGAACTGCAGGGTGGTGTTGGGGAAGGAGGCCTGGCAGCCCAGCCGGTGGCCGTTGGCCTCCCTCGTGGGCACGAAGTGCAGCAGCGACACCTGCACCCAGGTGCCCTCGTCCTCCCGCAGCCGGCCCAGCACAGCGGGCTCCCCCAGCCCCTCGTGGCCCAGCCAGCTCAGCTCAGGACGCAGCTCTGGGCAGTTGTCTGGCACCATGCAGCTGACCTCCACTTCCGTGCCTGCCACCACCTCTGGGGGCACTACGATGTTGGGGGTGTCTATACGAGGCGGGGAAAGGGAGGGCTGAGGAAGCAGCACTGGGCTACGGTCCCAGTCCCACCCCACCCACCCTCCTCCTTGTCCACCTCCATTGCTGGCAATGGTACGCCTCAAGGGTACCGCCTCCGCTCCCTGCCTCCGGATCCAGAGTTCCCCTCACCCTTCCTCTTCTTGGTCACCCCGGAGCCCTCCACGGAGCCATCAGAGCACCATTGTAATGAAAATCACAGTGTCGTGGCCAGAGCACTTGACAGCGTTTAACTTGCCAGTCCCTCCCACGAAGTGAGAGGGCAAGTACTGTAATTTTGCTTATTTTGCAGATGAAGAAACTGAGGCTGCAGCTGGCACCAGGTAACACTGGCTACAAACCCCGTAGCTCTGGCGTCAGTGTGGGCTCCCCACACCTCATCGCTTCCCAAGCGGCTCTCCTCTCCCATGCCTGCTTGGTTTACCCTCTGCCTGGCACGTGAGTGTGTGTGTGCAGGGGTGTGTGTGTGTGTGGTGTGGGTGCGTGGTGCATGTGTGTAGTGTGATGTGTGTGGTTTGTGTAGTGTGTGGTGTGTTTGTGATGCATGTGTGTAGTGTGTGGTGTGTGGGTAGCATGTGCATTGTGTGGTTTGTGTGTATGGTATGTGTGCAGTGTGTGTTGTGTGTGTGATGTGTGGTTTGTGTGGTGTGAGTTTAGTGCTGGTGTATGTGGTGTGTGGTCTGTGTCATGTGTGGTGTGTGTGTGATGTGGGGGTAGTACATGTACGTGTGCAGTGTGTGGGGGTGTTGTGCAATTTGGGTTGTGTGTGGTATGTGGTTTGTGTAGTACGTGGTATGTGTGTGTGGTGTGTGGTGTGTGTGGTGTGGTGTATGTGGTGTGAGTGTAGTATGTGGTGTGTATGTGGTGTGTGCTTTGTAACATGTGTGATGTGTGTGCTATGTGTAGCACGTGGTATGTGTGTGGTGTGTGAGTAGTGCATGTATGTGTGCAGGTGTGTAGGGTGTAGTGTGTGTGGTTTGTGTAGCATGTGATTTGTGTGTAGTGCGTGGTGTGTGTTTGGTGTAGGGGTAGTGTCTGCAGTGTGTGTTGTGGTTTGTGTAGTGTATGGTGTGTGTGTGCAGTGTGTGGTGGGTATAGTGTGTGGTTTGTGTGTGTGGTGTGTACATGGTGTCTGATTTGTGTAGTGTGTGTGGTGTGTGTTTGGTGTGTGGTGTGTATTTGGTGTGTGGGTAGTGTGTAGGTAGAGTGTGCAGTGTGTGGTGTGTGGTTTGGGTAATGTGTGGTGTGTGTGCAGTGTGTGGTTTGTGTAGTGCGTGTTGTGCATGTTTGTTGTGTGTGGAGTGTGTGGTTTGTGTTGTGATGTGTGGGTAGTGCATATATGTGTACAGTGTGTATACATAGGGTGTAGTGTGTGCATGGTTTGTGTGGTGTGTAGTGTGTGGTGTGTGGGTAGCATGTTCAGTATGTGGTGTATGTATGTGGTGTGTGTACTGTGTGGTGTGTGTAGTGTGTGTGGTGTGTGGGCAGTGTGTGCAGTGTGTGGTGTGTAGTTTATGTGGTGTGTGGTGTGTGTGTGGTGTGTGGTTAGTATGTGCAATGTGTGGTGTGTGGTTTTTGTAGTGTGTGGTGTGTGTGGTGTGTGTTTGGTGTGGTGTGTGTGTGTGGGTTCTATGTGTGTAGCATGTGCAGTGTGTGGTGTGTGGTTTTTGTAGTGTGGTGTTTGTGTGTGTGATGTGTGTTTGGTGTGGTGTATGTGTGGTGTGTGGGTAGAGTGTGTGTAGCATATGCAGTGTGTGGTGTGTGGTTTGTGTAGTGTGGTGTGTGTTGTGTGTGTTTGGTGTGTGTGTGTGTTTTGTGTGTGGGCAGTGTGTAGGTAGCATGAGCAGTGTGTGGTGTGTGGTTTTTGTAGTGTGTGATGCATGTGTAGTGTGTGATGTGTGTGTGGTGTGTGGTTTGTGTAGTGTGTGGTGTGTGTGGTGTGTGGGTAGTGTGTAGGTAGAGTGTGCAGTGTGTAGTGTGTGATTTCTGTAGAGTGGTGTGTGTGTGTGTACTGCACCTCTGCAGTCCCTTTCCGCACCAGGGTGAACCCGGCTGTCTCATAGGGACCCAGCACTGAGGGCTCCAAGCAGCAGCGCCACTCAAATGAGTGACTGCCTCATTTGAAATGAGGCAGGGGGATCCCATGAAATCAGGCAGTGTGCCCTATTCTGATTGCCGTGTCTGGCCATAGCTGTATTCTATTTGGCTTAAAGGATTTAAAAAAAAAAAAATCTGAATCAGTAGCCAAAATTCAAGAATTAGGAGATTACACCAAAGAATCCAAAATTCTGGTTTATCTTGAAAACTCAGAACGCCTGACAGCCATGGCCCTGCTTTCTGTTGGCCAGAGCTAGAGGCCACGTGCCAGGTGCTGCCCTGGGCACTTGACAGCATTTTACTCATTGCCTTAAGTGCTGTTCTTATCCCCATTTTCCAGAAGAGAAAACCAAGGCCCAAGGAAGTTAAGTCACTTGCCCGAGGTCACTACGCTGAAGTGGGGACCCAGCAGCCTTGCCCCTACCCACTGGCCCCACTGCCTTTCTCCAGGTGTTTCCAAAAGAGTAGGAGCACCTGTTTCCCTCTGAGGCTAGCAAGACTATTCTGGGGCCCTGCTTTGTTCATGTGTGTCATCTGCATGGTCTGCGTGGGCCTTGAGGTTTGCACCCCCAGCCAAATCAGCACCTCCCAGATCTGCCATCCAGGCCTGCTGGGGAAGGTGTGGGGAGGCCTTCCGGCCACACTCCTTCCTGCCCCGCTGCCGCAGCCCCCGGTGCCTGCACAACCGCTGGGGACTCACTGATGATGTCCAGGACGCTGTGCTCTGAGAAGGTGTACTGGTTGTAGCCGCCCAGGTCCCCACGGAAATAGTACTTCCCGCCCAGCTCGGGGCTGACGTTGCTGAGCAGGAGGGTGCAGTTGCGCAGGCCCAGGTCCCCCAGGAGGCGGCTGCGGCCCTGGAAGCTCTCGTGTACGACTTGGGTGCGCGACTTGAAGACCACCGGAGGGTAGTTCTTGGGGTAGGGGCTATTGAAGTACCAGACGCCATGCACCACGGCGGGCCGCAGCTCATCCGGGAAGTCAAAGCGGCAGGGGATGGAGACGCACGTGCCTTCGAAGGCCGAGATGGACGAGGGCATCCAGGCACCCCAGTGACCCCCTCGGGAGGCTGCGGGCAAGCAGGAGAGCTGAAGTTCAGGGACACATCCTACCTGATCACCCCCTCCAGCTTCCATCCCCGACCACGTGCCAGGGGGTGCAGGGACCCACCTCCAACCTGCTCAGGAGCCAAGGCCCTTGGGTCCCCAGCACCTGTCGGCCATTACCTGAAATCATAATCCAGAACAGAGGCAGTGCCGTGAGGAATATCATTCTGTACAGCAAGTGAGTGATCGCTGGAAAGGGAGAGGAGAGGGTTAAAGGCTGGGGGAAGTGAAAGGGGGTGTTCCATGCGGCCTTCAGGAAGGGGCTCATTCACATGCTAGCTGCTGCTGCTATTATTATCTATTAATGCCTTTATTTACTTGTTTTTCTGAGACAGGGTCTTGGCTGGAATGCAGTGGCACAATCACAGCTCACCATAGCCTCGAAATCCTGAGCTCGTGTCATCCTCCTGTCTCAGCTTCTGGTATGCTCCACCACACCCAGTTAATTTTTCTTCTTTTTTGTGGAAATGGGGTGGGAGGGGTCTCACTATGTTGCCCAGGCTGGTCTTGAACTCCTGGCCTCTGGCAATATTCCTGCCTTGGCTTCCCAAAGGATTACCGGTGTAAATCACCTTGCTGGTCTGCTGATATTTTTTAACTTTTTACTTTTTGAGATGGGGTCTCAGCTCTGTCGCCGAGGCTGAAATGCAATGGTGCAATCATGGCTCACTCCCTGAGGCTTCAATCTCCCAGGCTTACGCGATGCTCCAGAATAGCTGGGTCCTCAGGTGCGCACCACCATGCCTGGCTAATTTTATTGTAGTTTATTTATTTTGTTATTTATTTATTTATTTATTTTTAGAGATGGGAGTCTTGCCATATTCCACGTTGCTCAGACTGGTCTCAAACTCCTTGGCTCAAGCGATTCTCCTGCCTCAGCCTCCCAAAGTGTAGGGATTACAGGCGTGAGCCACCTCACTCGACCTGCTGCTATTACTTATAATTACAAACCCTTCGATGGCATTGGCCATGCGCCAGCCCTCATTGCTTATTCTGCTGTCTTAACTCATTTGATCTCTTTGAGGAAGATGCATTATCCTCATTTTATAGCTGAGGTCCAGAGAGGTTAAGTGACTTGCCCAAGGCCACACAGTCGGTCTGCAGTCTTAGCCGCATGCCCTGTCTCTGTGCAGTGATGATGTGCTGATCAGTATCTTTGTCATTATGATGGCCCTGGAGAGCTCCAGCAAGAAAGAACCAGAGAGCCAAGGCAGGGCCAGCATTGCAAAGCGGAAGCAAGGGAAGAGAATTGGTACCCTGCCCCTCACCTGAGTCTCCCTGAGTTGGGAACGTCTTCTGGGTCCACCTGAAGCTGCCAGACAGCCTGCAACAAGAGTCACTCAGGTGCAAGAGGGTGGGATCGGGGCCCCCAACCCGCCCTCGCTTCAGTATCTCCTGCATGGGTTGTGATCTGTTGTCAGGCTGCCCGTGTGGCCTCCCATCGTGCCTGGGACCCTCCCACACAGCCTCGAAGCCACTCTCTGGCAACAACTCCCCACAAGCTGGGGTGTGGGAGAACTGTGGGGAGGGAAGGGGGGAACGGCCGCATCGGGGTTCCGGGGGTGAGGCAGAGGGGTGTGGCGAGTGGAGTGAGGGAGCAGATGTCCCACGGCCGGGGCCTGGGGGTGGCGGGCAGGGACCCAGCGCCATCAATGACTGGGTTTCACAACATCAGCATTCCCGACATGCCGTGTGAATTCCTGCCGCCCTCTCCCACCCCACAGACGGCCCCTGGTGTCTGCACCCTCACCAGAAGCTGGTCCCCGGTACAAAAGAGTCCTGTTCCCTCGGGGAGGGGATGCTTTAGCCTGCGGGGGGCTTTCAGGGTGGGTGGGGAGTGAGAAAGGGGTCAGGCACTCCTGACTGGGCTTTGCGTGGGGCCAGGAAGGCCCAGGGCGGGGGCTAGCAAGCCCCTGGCACCCTGCTGCTCCGTGGGTTGCCTTGGGGTTGGAGCCAGGGTTTCCAAGTGATTGCTTTTCCCAGTCTCCACCACCCTCTTCCCACGGACAGAGACGCGTGCACACACATATCCAATCGCCGGGATGAAATGTGACAGATGTAGCCCCAGTCAGAAGGGGCAGGCACACACAGCAGAGACTCACGTGGACACCCAGACAGGACCCTGAACACACAGACAGGCACGGGGACCCCTGTGCCCACAGAGATGGGCTGGCACTCACACAGTTCCCGAGGCATGCGTGCAGTGCCCCTGCTGCTGTCCACACACACCTGGACAGACATAGACCTGGCATTCGGCGCGTACACACACACACACACACAGCCCTGCATGCACGGCAAGCTGACCAAGATGCAAGGAACTGCACACACACACTGAGGATGGCTACACACGGGTCCAGCCAGACATGCGCCAGTGGACACCTGGCCGACGCTGCCCTTGCACCTGTGACGGGAAGGTACAGGTGAGAGATGCAGATAAGGATGAGCACGTGCCTGGGCAGACATGAAACCATCAGGTAAATCATGTACTCTTAACAGCGGGGAAAGCCAGTTCTCGGGATGGGGGCCAAATCAACCTCAGCTGTTACAATGTGTGTGGTCACAGTCCATAAACATATGTACAGCAGATCTGTTGGGTTAAAATGTCAAGGGAAGGATGAGATGAGGACAAATGCATCTAGAAAGTTTCCTTAGTTGGGGCCGGGCGCAGTGGTTCACGCCTGTAATCCCAGCACTTTGGAAGGCCAAGTTGGGAGAATCTCTTGTGCCCAGAAGTTTAAAACCAGCCTGGGCAATATAGTGAGAGTACTGTCTCTTAAAAACATAGTAATAAAAAATAAAAAGTTTCCTTAGTGGGGATTAATGAATAAAAGTTGACTGAGGCTCACAGAGGAAGGTGCATGGGCAGCCGTGTGTGTGTGTGTGCGCGTGCACACACACACACACACACACACCTGTTGGGTGCCCAGGTGCTAGAATGCAGTCACTTACAGTCCATTGCCCCATCCACCTCCCAGATTGCAGACTGCAGGTATCTGATCACCTGGACATCCTTCCATTCTTCAGCCAGACCCAGACCTTCTCCACCCCATCTGCCCCACACTTGGGAACCCCAAGGAAACCTCTCCTGCAAAACCTTCACCCACAAGGGGTGCTGAGGGGGGCCCTTTGTTCTTTCTCTCTGCGGTTTCTTCCCAGAGCCCCATCGCTGCCCCAGTGATGGTCCCAGCCCATCCCCAGAGCAGCTCCAAGCCACACCCTCCTGCATCCTAAATCAGTGGCGGTGCACAGCGACGCTTCCTCACCCAGAGCACCTGACTCTGCTCACGTCTGGGTGCCACTGCCCCGGCGCCCTGCTCCCCATGCCCCGGCCTCCCTGCCATCGTACTCACTTGGACGCAGTTGCTTCTGCACCTCTGCTCCGCCGGCCCAGCTCGCAGTCCCCTGCCTCCCAGGGTCTAGGCCCCCACTTGCCAGCCCCTCCCCTCCCCCTGGGTGCCAGGGGCCGCCTGCCTCCAGGGCCCAGCTCCTCCCTACCCCCGGGGGAGGGGGGCACAAAAGGGCCCTTGTCACCACAGGGCTCGGACTGGGCAGCCTGACGCTTGGGTTCTCCTAGCTCCTTCCTGGAGGGGTTGGGGGTGGCTGCCTTGCTCTCTCCCCATCCTCCATCCCTGAACACCCTGATTCTGGGTCCTGGGGAGGGGGGGCAGTCTAACCTCTTTGGAAGTCCCAGGCTGAGGGACAGAGGCATTGTCCTCAGGGAATCTTAGTGGCAACATTAGGTGGGCAGCAGAAGGAGACGGGTCCTTTCCACCCTCAACGTCAGTGCCACCTCCTCTTGCCATCTGAAATGACCTTCCGTGTTCACCAGCTCCTTTCATGAGAACATGACCTCCACCAGGCCAGAAGCCTTGTCTTGGAGATTCTCAATCCATCCCCACTCATAGACAAGTTCCTGGCAGGCAGTTGAGCTTAATAAACAGCATGGGTGGTTGAATGTGTTCTCCAGAGCCCCGGGGTACCTTCAGACTCAGGGCCTGGGCACCTGTTGCTCATTCTTCGTGGAAAGCAGTCCCCACTCCATAGCACTCCCCGCTCTGGCACTGGCTGCCGTTCACCCGTCCTGTAGGCTCAGCAGCCCGGGTGCCGCTTCCCCGGGAAGCTTTCCCATCTTCCCCCATTAGCCAGGCCCCTCCATTGCAATGCTGTCCTTTCCTTCTGTAGCCTTGGCAGGCTGGCCCGTGTGCACCCTAGGTCTGCCCGCCTCTGCCTCCCACTAACCCAGGAGCTCTCAGAGGCAGGGGCTCACCAGAAACCTATCTGCCACTCTGTCTATCATGTGCACTCTTCTGTCCCCTGGAGCAGTGTGCTTAGTGCACAGAGGACTGTGCTGACCGAGTTGGGCGAGGACCTTCTGAGTGCAGATTCCACCCCTTGGTCACGACTTTTGCCAGGTGGGTGGGGGCTTGGGACAGCTGGAGGTGGCGTGACAAAGTGCAGCAGTGATTTCACCATGAGCTGTTCAGCCGCACTGGGACATCTCCTCTCCTCCTTCAGGCCAGAGCAGTGGGGAGGGGGGGTCCTCGCTCTCAAGGGAGAACCCAGGGGATGAGGGGTGGGGAAATCCCTCAGACCAGGGAGAGAAGTGTTGTGGGGATGTGGGGGAGTTGGAGGGGGAGGGGGAGTCCCACCCCCACCCCAGGCTTCATGATGTCAGACTCTGCCCGTGCCTTTCCCAGTCCGGGACAAAGACCCATTGAGAGTTGGGTGGGGCTTGAACGCCTGGGTCCTGGAGAAGAGAGGGGCCTGGTGCCTGGGCTTTGGTGGTGGTGGTTGGGGTAACAAGGAGATCCTGGAGGTATTTGCATGTCCCAGCCTTCAGCATCAACACCCACCTCGTTGGAGCTGGAGTTGTGTGCTGGTGTAGTGTGAGGCTCCATCTCCTCCCTGGGTGTGAACTGAAGGCTGTTGCTGGGGAGAGGACAGTGTCCCACAGGAGCACTCGCAATAGTCGCTGACATCTGCAACTTGGGTCTCCAGGAGCCCTGTGGGAGCAAGGCAGCTGGAGCCCATGAGAGGAAGGGGCTGGGTGAGAGGACCTGTGACTGGCGGGCAGGTACACTGTCTAAAAGGACAACCGACCTGCAGATCCAGTGGCCGGTGCTGCCGCATCAGCTGATCTCTTACGAGAAAGCAGGTGTATCAGTTTTCCAGGACTGTTACAACAAAGTTTCACAAACTGGGTGGCTTAAAAACCAGAATTGAGGCCAGGCACGGTGGCTCACACCTGTAATCCCAATGCTTTGGGAGGCCAAGGTGGGTGGATCATGAGGTCAGGAGATCGAGACCATCTTGGCTAACACGGTGAAATCCTGTCTACTGAAAATACAAAAAAATTAGCCGGGCGTGGTGGCGGGCTCCTGTGGTCCCAGCTACTCAGGAGGCTGAGGCAAGAGAATGGCGTGAACCCGGGAGGCAGAGCTTGCAGTGAGCGGAGACTCCTCCACTGCACTCCAGGCTGGGCGACAGAGCAAGACTCCAACTCAATAAATAAATAAATAAATAAATAAATAAATAATTTTTTTTTTAAACCGCCAGCATTGAGCTTGAATTCCAAGATCAACAAGATCAAGGTGCTGGCAGCATTGGTTCCTTCTGAGGGTGTGAGGATCTTTTCTGGGCCTCTCTCTGTATGGCATCTTCATCTTCACATGCTCTTCCCCCTGTATTCACCCCTGCCCAGATTTGCCATTTATTTATTTATTTATTTTTGAGACATAGTATTGCTTTGTCATTGAGGCTGGAGTGCAGTGGTGCAATCATAGCTCACTGCTACCTCGACCCTCCAGATTCAAGCGATTCTCCTGCTTCAGCCTCTCAACAGTAACTGGGACTACTGGCTTTTTTTTTTTTTTTTTTTTTTTTTGGTAGAGACATGGTCTCACTATATATTGCCCAGGCTGGTCTTGAATTCCTGAGCTCAAGAGGTCCTCCTGTGTTGGCCTCCCAAAGTGCTGGGATTACGGGCGTGAGCCCCTGCACCCTGTCAGATTTCCCGTTTTTATAAGGAAACCAGTTCTTTTTTTTTTTTTTTTCCGAGTCTGATCTTATTTATTTGTTACTCAAAAAATCTTATTTCTGACTGGATTCAGACTTAGAAGTAGAAGCTCGCAGAGAGGAAAGTCTGCGTCTCTTTGCAATTTGTTCCTGGCGCTTCTCCTTAGCCTCCTTCATTCTTTTGGCCAAAAGTTTAGCATATTCTGCAGCCTCTTCCTTGTTTTTCTTAGTACGCTGCTTCTTCAGAGCAATACGCCGCCGTTTGTGCTGCAGGACACGTGGAGTAACAAGACGCTGAATCTTGGGTGCTTTGGTCCTAGGTTTCTTACCTTCTTTGTTTAAGGGCTTTCTTACAACATACTGGCGGATGTCATCTTCTTTAGAGAGATTGAAAAGTTTGTGGATTCTGCTAGCTCTTTTGGGGCCCAGGTGGCGAGGCACTGTAGTATCAGTCAGTCCAGGAATATCCTTCTCTCCTTTTTTTACAATAACCAAGTTGAGAACGCTCAGATTGGCATCCACAATGCAACCACGAACTGATTTTCTCTTTCTTTCTCCCGTTCTCCTTGGTCTGTAACAGGAATGCCCCTTACTCAGTAGCAGGCGGACACGGCCATGGGTCAAGACACCCTGCTTCATGGGGAAACCTTGTTTGTCGTTCCCACCACTGATTCGGACCACATAACCCTTCCATTCTTCACCCAGAGCGTCAGCAGCAACTTCTGTGGCCATACGCTTCTCATAAAAAGTACGAAGTTTGCGTTCATCGTCCACTTCAATGAGTTTCTGGCAGCCAGTGGCTGGGAAGGAGATGTTCAGCTTCATCTTGAAGCAGCTGAACGCCTCCAAGGCGCCACGGAAAAGAGCGGAAACCAGTTCTATTGGATCAGGATTCGCCCATCTCGTTTTAACTTGATTACCTCCGTGAAGACCCTGCCTCCAACTAAGGTCACATTCTGAGCTACTAGGGGTTGGGACTTCAATGTGACTTTGGAATTCCTAGCAACAGGAATTCAGAAGGAAGCTCTCGGCCATGGGGAGCTCTCACTTAAAGCTTAAAGCTCTCGTAGACAGGGGCTGAGGCTTGATCCATCCAAGGGTCCTTGCTGTCCTCAGACAATGCTGGCAGCTTCACAACCAGTCCTCCGCAGGACTGTGGCTTGCTCAAAATGCAAGTTCAAGGGCCCCACCTTGCACCTGTGGAATCAGAAATTCTGGAGGCCCAGTTATCTGCATTTTGTATGTTTATTTATTTTACAGACAGAGTGTCACTGTGTCACCCAGGCTGGAGTGCAGTGGTGCCATCATAGGTCACTGCAGCCTTGAATTCCTGGCCTCAAGTAATCCTTCCATCTCAACCTCGTAAACTACTAGGATTATAAGTGTGTTCCACCACACCCAGCCTTATCTGCATTTTATTTATTTTTATTTATTTATTTGATTTTTTTTGAGACAGAGTCTCATTCTGTCACACAAGCTAGAGTGCAGTGGCATGGTCTTGGCTCACCACAGCCTCTGCCTCCCAGGTTCAAGCAATTCTCATGCCTCAGTCTCCCGAGTAGCTGGGACTACACGTGTGTACCACCACCACCACATCCAGCTAATTTTTGTATTTTTAGTAGAGGCGGGCTTTCACCGTGTTGGCCAGGCTGGTCTCGAACTCCTGGCCTCAAGTGATCCTCCAGCCTCAGCTTCCTAAAGTGCTGGGATTACAGGCTTGAGCCACTGCACCTGGCCCCATCTGCATTTTTACAGGCCCTCCAGGAGATTTTGAGCACGCTGAAGTTTGAGTATCTCTGCTTTATATGTTCTCCCGTCTCTCTAGGACCACCCCAGAGAACTGCTTGCTCGGGAGAGAAGAGCACCCCATGTCATTAAGTGTAATTCCTGATTTCGGGTTTCCCACCAACCAGGAGGGAGGCCTCCACCATCCCCTGTCAATATGAATCCTTTACATTGAGGAAGCACTGGACAGTTTCCAAAGCAATTTCACACTCATCCCCTTTGTTGAGCAACTCTAGAGCCAGATAAGCTAAGTCCTGTACAGACGCTTCTGTGTTTTTTTTTTGTTTTTTGTTTTTGTTTTTGTTTTTGAGATGGAGTCTCGTTCTGTCACCCAGGCTGGAGTGCAGTGGCATGATCTTGGCTCAGTGCAACCTCTGCCTCCCGGGTTCAAGTGATTCTCCTGCCTCAGCCTCCTGAGTAGCTGAGATTATTTTTAGGTGTGCGCCAACACGCCCGGCTAATTTTTGTATTTTCAGTAGAGATGGGGTTTCACCATGTTGGCCAGGCTGGTCTCAAACTCCTGACCTCAGGTGATCCACCTGCCTCAGCCTCCCAAAGTGCTGGGATTACAGGCGTGAGCCACTGCGCCCAGGGCTTCTGTTCTTTTAAAGGTAAGGAGAGGCCAGGCATGGCGGATCACACCTGTAGTCCCAGCATTTTGGGAGGCTGAAGTGGGAGGATCATTTGAGGCCATGAGTTTGAGACCCACCTGGGCAACACAGCCAGATCCACATCTCTACACAAAATACAAAACTTTAGCGGGATGTGGCGATAGGCACCTGTGGTCCCAGCTACTCAGGAGGCAGAGGTGGGAGGATTGCTTGAGCCCAGGAGGTCAAGGCTGCAGTGAGCCATGATCACACCATTACACTTCAACCTGGGCTATGGAGCAAGACCCAGACTAAAAAAATAAAATAAAAAATACGGATGAGGAGGTGGAGCTCCGGATACGAAGAAGATGCATGCATGATGTTATAGCTAATAAGAAGCCAAGCTCACCACAACTCCCCTCTCCCTAACCTCCCCTCCCAGAGGACAAGCCTCCGTGGATTCCAAAGCGAAGGCAGATGGTGGTGGTGCACCAGGACTCATCTGGCTCCCAGCTGGGCTTAGTTTGGCTCACAGAATGTTAATGTAAAAAGACAAATTCCTTTGCTCAGTTGCCAATACTGTAAAAGCAAGAAATCGCAAATAAAAATAGGAATTCCCACCTTCTCTTGACGAAATCAGAAGCTCTAGCCAGGTTTGCCTGCCTTGGGCGCGGCGGCCGTGTCTTGGAGCCCTCTCCCGCCAAGCCTGGGCCTTCCCACTCTCTGCCCACACCCAACATTGAGGCTGAATGACCAATGCCCTTTACCATCAAGTGAGAACTGTTGCTTCCTAGGAGCTAAGAAGACGGTGAAATACAGCTCCTATCTCTGTTTCTATCAAATGTGGGCGGGCTGGGCACGGTGGCTCACGCCTGTAATCACAACACTTTGAGTGGCCGAGGCGGGTGGATCACTTGAGGTTAGGCATTTAAGACCAGCTTGGCCAACATGGTGAAACCCCGTGTCTACTCAAAACATGAAAATTAGCCAGGCAAGGTGGCGGGCGCCTGTAGTCCCAGCTATTCAGGAGGCCGAGGCAGGAGAACCACTTGAAACTGGGAGGTGGAGGTTGCAGTGAGCCGAGATCGCACCACTGCACTCCAGCCTGGGCGACAGAGTGAGACCCTGTCTCGAAAATAAATAAATAAATAAATAAATAATAGAAATATTTTCCCAGTTTCAGTTTCTAATACATCAGGCAACTAGAGATATAGCCCACTTCAACAAGAGCTTTTTGGAGTCCTCAATAATTTCTCACAACGTAAAGGGGTCCCAAGACGGAAAGGTGTGAGGGCCACGGCCTTCAGAGGCCATCCAGGTGTAGTGAATGAGCGAGATACAGGGGATTGTTACATGAGAGCATCTTAAGTTGTATTCTTCCAGGAAGGGCGCACTTTGCACGTGAAACATATAGGAATATGGTTCACCTCCACAAGACACTGAGTTCCTGCCCATTCTTTTTTTTTTTTTCTTTCTTTCTTTCTTTTATTTTATTTATTTATTTATTTATTTATTTTTTTTTGAGACAGGGTCTCACTCCATCACCCAGGCTGAAGTGCAGCAGTGCTATCTTGGCTCACTGTAACCTCCACCTCCAGGGTTCAAGTGATTCTCCTGCCTCAGCCTCCTGACTAGCTGGGATTATAGGCACATGCCACAATGCCTGGCTAATTTTTGTAGAGATGGTGTTTCACCATGTTGGCCAGGCTGGTCTTGAACTCCTGACCTCAAGTGATCCACCTGCCTCAGCCACCCAAAGTGCTGTAGGCATGAATCACTGTCCCTGTCTCCTCCCATTCTTAAAAGCTGTATCACTCTCATTTTGGTTGCCCGACTTTTTTCTTTTTTGACACCGAGTCTTCTTCTGGAACTCCCAGTCTTTAGCGATCCTCCCACCTCAGCCTCCTGAGTAGCTGGGACCATGTAACCGCATTGGGCTAGAAACTGGGACATTTAAAAGCATGAGATACACCAGCACACAATCCATTAGCCATCTGGTGATGATGCCGTCAGGTGTCACGGAGCCTCCTGGAAACTCCATTGTATACTCATGAGAGAACCACGGTGAAAAAGGCAAATAAACATCTTTGTAGGCCGGGTGTGGTGGCTCACGCTTGTAATCTCAGCACTTTGGGAGACTGAGATGGGTGGATCACTTGAGGTCAGGAGTTCAAGACCAGCCTGGACAACATGGTAAAATCCCATCTCTACTAAAAATACAAAAATTAGCCGGGCTTGGTGGCGCATGCCTGTAGTCCCAGCTATTCAGGAAGCTGAGGCAGGGGAATCGCTTGAACCCAGGAGGTGGAGGTTGCAGTGAGCCAAGATCGTGCCACTGCACTCCAGCCTGGGTGACAGAGACTCTGCCTCCAAAAAAAAAAAAAAAGAAAAAAAAATGTCTTAGTAGTTTCCACCTTCAGGAGCCCTACAAAAGGAGTCCCCGGATCTTACTTTGAGAACCTTTATAGTAGTGTCCAATGTTTTGGCTTCCCTGAGCCACACTGGAAGAAGAATTGTCTTGGGCCACATGTAAAACACACTAACACTAATGACAGCTGATGAGAAAAACAAAAAAAAGTCACAAAAAATTATCATAATGCCTTAAGAAAGTTTACGAATTTGTGTTAGGTGCATTCAAAGCCATCCTGGGCTGCATGTGGCCCACGGGTGGAACAAGCTTGCCTTATAGGCACTGATTTCTACGGCTGTTTTAGGAAGATCTCAAGGAGAGGAAACATTAAGTTTCATCCCCCGTTATTGCAACATGAAGGGGGAGAACAGAAACGAATTTTCTTCACCAACTTTCCTGGCAACTTCCAGGACACACCAGCCCCACATGACCCACCAAGCACTGGCGCTTGCAAGGCAGGGTCAGGACAAGCTCTTAGCACAGGCCCTTGGCAGAGAGAAAGGACAACAGACACTCTGGTTTGGAAAACAAAAGAATCAGCCGTTTTATTCCAAGACCTGTGTTCTGGGGCAGCAGGAATAAATAAGGAAGGGAGGGGATGGGGGCAGGGCAGGAAGGTTCTACGTCCTGCAGCACATCCCACACTTTGATCGATGACAGCAGCCGCAGCAGAAAATGCAGATGGGGAAGTGGGTGTCTCGCCTCCTTCGCCTCTGGAGCATGGGCTGTGAGAAGGAAGGGAGTGTGAGCAGGGAACCGACCTGGGCATGCGGAGGGAGCAGGGGGCTGGGAAGGGCGTCACTGGTGTGCTCACCGTCCAGCTGGCCCTGGCTCCAGCTCTGTCCTGAGGTTGCAGCTCTGCAAGTTGTCCCGTCTGTGAAAGCAGAAGGGGGTGTTGAGGATGGCAGGGGGCCCGGCGGACCTCTGAGACTGGCTCCCAGCAACCTGCTCCTCTCCAAGTGGTTTAAACCCAGAGCTCAGTTGGACTCCTAGGAGGGGCCTTGCTTTCTTGCTTCTGCTCACCTTCCCATGGGCGGCTCTTCCTAAAAAAAAACCTCCCAGATCCGCCTCCTCCTCTTTCCACAGCTCCTACTCTTCTTTGGGACATCATCTTCCCTTGCCTGGATGACAGTACCAGCCTCCTAACACATCTCCCTGCATTCTTGCCCCTCAATCCATTTGCCACACAGCAGAGTCACTTTTTTTGTTTGTTTTTTAGACAGTCTCCCTCTGTCGCTCAGACTGAAGTGCAGTGGCACAGTCATAGCTCCCTGCAGCCTCGACCTCCTATGCTCAAGCGATGCTCTCACCTCAGCCTCCTGAGTAGCTGGGACAGCAGGTGCACGCCACCACACCCGGCTAATTTTTAAATTTTGTGTAGAGATGGAGTCTGGTTGTGTTGCCGAAGCTGGTCTCGAACTCCTGGGCTCAAGTGATCTTCCTACCTTGGCCTCCTGAAACTCTGGGATTGCAGGCGTGAGCCATGGTGCCCGACTGGCAGACTAATTTTTTAAAAAACGTGGCCAGTGAGATTGTGGTTTTCTCCATTTAAAAAACCTATAGGAGGCTGGGCGCAGTGGCTCACGCCTGTGATCCTAGCACTTTGGGAAGCCGAGATGGGAGGATCACCTGAGTTCAGGAGTTCAAGACCAGTCTGGCCAACATGGTGAAACCCTGTCTCTACTAAAAGTACAAAAATTAGCTGGGCGTGGTGGCGGGTGCCTGTAATCCCAGCTACTTGGGGGGCTGAGGCAGGAGAATTGCTTGAACACGGTAGGCGGAGGTTGCAGTGAGCCCAGATGATGCCATTGCACGCCTGCCTGAAAGACATAGCAAGACCCTGTATCAGAAAAAAAAAAAAAAAAAAAAAAAGCCTATGGGGGCTTCCTCTTTACTCCAAGGAAAAGTCAGCGTCTGTACGGTTGCCCACAAGACTTTGGGACTCTGCCCACCCCTCGGCCTTATCCCCAAGTCCCACCGTCTCCTCTTGCTCAGCCTGACCCTGGGCTATGCCAGTTCGTCCTCTCCTCGGGTCTCTGCTGCCTCCATCTCTCACCCTCCAAGACAAAGGCCAACTGTCACTTTCTCCTGAAACACTTGCTTGACTGCCAGCCCCTTGACCGTGCCGTGGGCCCGCCACCCGTGGCATGTGCCTGCTGTCCCAGCTATTTGGGAAGCTGAGGTGGGAGGATTGCTTGAGCACAGGAGGGCGAGGCTGCAGGGAGCTATGACTGCATCACTGCATTCCAGCCTCAGCAACAGAGCATGACCCTGTCTCTAAAAAACAAACCAAAAAAGTGACTTTACTGTGTGGCGAATGGATCACGGTCACTCTACCACCGTCTGTTATGTGATTCATGAATAGCATGTACTAGACACAATTATTTGTTCATGTTTTCCTCAGTCTTTAACGAATTCCCTGACCAGGATGAGAGGTCTCCTCTCTCATCTACCTTGTTCATAGCCTTGTCCTCACTGTCTAGAATAAGACTCCACACAGCGTAAGGGCTTCGTAGATACCCACAGAATTAGGACCTTCCAATCCCTGTCACTTGGTGCTTCATCGATTTTTGTTCTTTTTTGGAGATGGAGTCTTGCTCTGTTGCCAGGCTGGAGTGCAGTGGTGCAATCTCAGCTCACTTTGCAACCTCCACCTCGCAGGTTCAAGTGATTCTCCTGTCTCAGTCTCCCGAGTAGCTGGGATTACAGGCACCTGCCACCACGCCTGGCTAACTTTTGTATTTTTAGTAGAGATGGGGTTTTACCATGCTGGCCAGGCTGGTCTCAAACTGACCTTAAGTAGTCTGGGCATGAGCCACCGTGCCTGGCCTGGTTCCTGTTCAGCTGCCAGCCCCCCTGAGCTGTCCTGAGCTCTACTCAGTGCTTGGGTGTCTCTAGTGCCCTAGGCTGGGGCCTGGCTCTCCCATCCCTGCTGCCCTTCTAAGGACCCAGGCCACTGGGCTCTCACCTGTTGTGGGAAAACGGAGCCACTGGTCAGGCTGGCGAGGAGGAGAAGGAGGAGGAGGCAAGTGGCCCAGATCTGGGAGCTCAGTGCCATCGTGCCGTCTGTCTGGCTGTCCCACTGCTAGGTCTTGAGCTTGCTCTGGTGTCTGGGACCCAGTGACAGTCGCTTTTATGGGGCCTGCCAGGGGAGGCAGTGGTCTGGGCCCCCTCCCCTTTGCTCTGACTCATTTCCAAGAAGGTGGTGGCGCCGAAAAGGCGGGAGAGATAAGCGGGAACAGAGCGACAGGGAACAGGGTTGTGTCACCCTCAGCCGGCAGAGGTGTGTTCAGGGGGTGGGGCAGACGGGGTCACAGACACACACTGCTCGCCAGCCATCTGGGGAGCCCTTTCCCCATCATGATGTCATTCTGCTGATTGAGAAAAAGTTACCCCTTTTGCTTCAGCGGTTAAGCAGTTTGATGATCTGAATCAAGGTTCCGTTCTCCTTCACCCACTTCCCTACCGCCTGCATGCACACAGGGCATGGCCAGCAGCTGCCAGGCTCCTCAGGAGTGTCCGGCATATTGGGGGAAGCATCCATTGCTTTAAGCTCTCACCACACATGTATAGGTTCTGGCAGGGAACAGTGGATAGCCCTGAGCATGGCGAGCATCAGCGTGTGCCCCTGATCCGCACGCGGTGTTTTCCCAGCGTCAGACCCTTGAGACGTGTCTCTGGTAACTGGAAAATGTTTGAGCAAACTTTTGGCCATAAATGACAGCAGTAATATGGCCCAGTGCGGTGGCTCATGCCTGTAATCCCAGCACTTTGGGAGGCTGAGGCAGGAGGATCGCTTGAGCCCAGAAGTTCAAGACTAGCCTGGGAAACGTAGGGAGACACCATCTCTACAAAAAAAAATTTTTTTAAACAAATTTAGCCAGGCGTGGTGGCACACATCTGTAGTCCCAGCTACTTGGGAGGCTGAGGCAGGAGGATCACTTAAGCCCAGGAGGTTGAGGCTGCAGTGAGCTATGATCGTGTGACTGCACTCCAGCCTGGGTGACAGAGCGAGACCCTGTCTATAAAAGATAAAATAGCAGTAAGAGGAATAGCTGACATCTGCTGTCTGATGAGTACATTTTATACGATGGCACGTGTGTTGACTCACTTCTGCACCAACTTAGCCTGCGCCGCCTGTTCTCCCAGCAGCACTTGCTGCCCCACCTTCAGCTCTGCTCTGTGTTCAGGGGCTGCCTTCTCGGTCACCCAACCCCAGGGGCTTCGGCTCCCCAGACCCCACTCCCTTTCAGGAGCCTCCTCCACGTTGGACACTCATTTCCTTCACTTTACAGAAAAGGCACTGAAGGCAGAGATCAGGGCATGGCCCAAGCTTGCCCAGGCAGAGGTAGAGCTGGGATTCTGACCTGGACAGCCTGAACCCAGGGCCTCTGCTCTTACCCACCAGGCTTCCCCATCTCCCCTAAAACACAGCAGGGTACAGTGGCGTGCTAGAACTGGCTCAACAGAGCAGACCGTGCACATCTCGAAACTCTTCATTCACTGGCATCATGCCGGTACCCTGAAATCAGCAGTGGTGGGAGTGTTGACACCAGGAAATGGGCAAACCCTACAAGCCAGGGACATTTTTGGGGAGCCGGTTCCTTAGGACACCACTAGCTGGGGGATGAACCCAGGCGGCCTGACTGCAGTGCCTTCATTCCTTTCCACTACCAGGCCGAGCTCAGGGTGCACACGGCCCAGGGGATCCACAAACCTTGGTTCCAGATGGGCCCTTGGATATTTTGCCACTTTGCTTTTCATTCCAGGGCCATCCAGTGTCAGCCCAGTCACCAGAGCCTGGGGATGTTGCTGTCGAGGAGTGAACACTTCTTCCTGACTGCTGAACCGCTGCCAAGGCCCACTCAGGCACAGAAATGGACAGGCCCTGCCATCTGCCTCCTCATCCACACCACGTGGGAGGTTCCTCTTGTCACAGCTTGGGGAACAAAGCGCGACCCCATCGGTACAAAAGCCTGACTGTGGTGCTATGCACCTGTAGTTGGTCAAGGCTCCAGTGAGCCGTGATCGTGCGCCACTGCGCTCTAGCCTGGGTGACAGAGTGAGACCCTGTCTCTAAAAACTAAACGAATAAAGATGGCCTCAGATGGGAATAGCTAGGAAACAGAGACAGGACTCTTGAGGCAAGAGACGATTGGGGGGAGGACATTTGGGAGGAAAGGCAGAGCATGGAGCGCCACAAGGTGAGCAGAGTGGCAGGCCCAGCTCCTGGGAGTGGATGGAGTTGAAGGGGGCTGCAGGATGCGGCAGGGTCCAGTGAATAGGGGTGTGCTCACCCGGGGACTCGGCAGCAGCCCCCAGCCCTACCAGGCATCACTGCATCTCAGCTCAGGACAGGTTTCATCATCAGCAGGGGCAGGGGTCACAGCACAGGCGCCAGAGCCTCGGTGCAAGGCGACAGGCTGACGGGCCAAGCTTGGCGCCCTGGCCATCTGCCCTTCCTGGGGGTGAGGGGCTCAAGGCCGGGCCCCACTATTGGCTGGTGCGGAGGGGAGGGCTTCAGCCCAGCAGAGTAGGGCCAGGGGCTGGTTGTGTTTTCAGAACTGCTGACACGGAGACCCCCGCCTCTCCTCCAACATGGGACATGTCCTTGACCCCAGCTCCCCACACCCTCATGCATGCCTAGGGCCTCAAAGGGGACATTCATTCCCTAATTCCTTCATCCATCCAACCAACCACTGGGTACCAGGTGGTGCAGCTGGCAGGGACTGCACACAGCCATGTGCACAACGGCGGAACCATGCCGCGTGGAGCTCTGTAGACCCCAAGCCCCTCCCCGTTCCCGAGATGGACAGACACACAAGCAGACAAGGCGGGGGCCACATGGGGCCAGTTTATTGCAGTTAAATACCTCTCTCTCTCTATTTTTTTTGTCAATTTTTCCATAAAGAAAATTAAAACACACACACACACACCCAAAGGGGAGCAGGGACCCAGAAACAAGAGGTGGGGTGGGACGTGGCCTCCCTGCATAGGTCCAGGCCCCGGGTGGCCCCCCAAAGGCTCCCCTCCTTCCCATCAGCACCCTGTCTCAGTACCTCCAGAGAGCAGGAGGCAGCGGGACACGGAAGGGCCTCTGTCCCCCTCCCTCTTGCCTCCAGGTGAGACCACTAGAAGTGCCGGGGCTTAGTGAGGGCCGGGAGAAGGGCGACAGACAGATGGATGGGGAGGGAGGATACCGTTTCCAAGTGGAGGAGGGCGGTGGGCACTGTATCCACAGAAATCCATTATTTCTCCCCGTTTTTTGTTAAAAATCTACTATAAAAAAACGCAGCTGGGGGAGGGGCGTGTGTCCCTCTCTGTGCTAAGGGCTGGGGAAAGGGGCAGCAGAGGCCGGCGTGGGCGGCGGCGGCTGCGCGGTGGCGGCGGGCGTCACTGCCGGGTGCTCTCGCCCACCATCTCCAGGTTGTGCTGCTGCAGCTGGGCTCGAAGCAGGGCGTTCTCATTCTTCAGCTCCTCGATCTGGCGGACACGACGGAGGACAAGGGAGCTGAGGGCCAGCGCCTTGCATGTGGGGCTCCTGGGCCCCGACCCGCTCCAGGCCCTGCACCCACCTGCTGCCTCAGGAGCTCGTTGTCCATCTGCAGCCGCTCGGCCTCTTTGAAAGTCTCTTGCATGCGCTGGTTGGTCTGGCGCAACTCCCGGATGTAATCGCAGGCCTTGGACAGGATCCCTCCTTTACTCTGGGGGGCGAGGGGACCAGGAGCCTTAGGGTGGGCACCACCCACTGGCCTCCACCCCGGGGAAGACTCCTGAGCCCCATGGCAGTTGGACTTTCTGCATGCAAGGGTTGGGGGCCAGGCCCACCGCAGCCACTAAGGGTCCGGGATGCTCACCGCTCCCGTCTTGCTGTTGTCTGCATTACAGTCTGGAATGATTTTCGAAAGCTGGACGATCCAGTTGTTGATCTTGTCCCTTCGCCTCCGCTCCACTGCGGGAAACAGAGCCACAGCCACGGCTTCGCTGACAGGGCTCGTGCCCGAGCGGCCGTCCTCACAGGGCAGAGGCTCAGCCCAAGGACACCCAGGCACAGCGCAGGCCCCACTGAGACCACAGCCCTGGGAAGTGAGGGGCCGCACCCTGAGCCCAGCCGGCCCCCACCCCCAGCTTCTCAAGAGGAACAAAGAAACCTGGGCCCTCCGGTGCCACACACGCTTTTAGGACGGGCGTCAAAGGTCAGGCACTTTGAGTTCGTTTTACGGGCCTGCCCCGTCACACTTGTACAAATTTGAATCGACAGTTAAGAATAAGGAAATATCTCATGGTAATTGGCGTCACTGGCTTCTTTTGAGAAATGGAGCTCTGGTCACAGTGGGCACGTACTGGGAGGCAGGGATGGGCAGAGCCGCTCTTCGCAGGACTAGTGCCCCTCACTGGCTCCCGTGGCCCCTGCACTGGATTCTCCAGTCTGCCCAGAGACTCTGGGCACTGTGATTTTGTTTTTTAACTCATCTCTAATTCCAAGTCTGACCATGTTTCACCCCTGCTTAAAATCCTTCCACAGGGTAATGGCAGATCCCAACTGGTATTTGCAGTTCCCAGGCCTGGCCCACAAGGCCAGGAAAGACACAAACCCTATGCGGAAGGCCAGAGATGGCAACTCATAGAAGATTTTACTTAAAAAACCCAGATTTGTGATTTTACTCCATAAAACTCCACAATCTCACGCCAACTGTGTCGGCCGGGTAGCAGCTGTCCCCAGACAGAGCACAAGCCTGTCTCTGGCCACATGCCGTCCTGATACCTGCCTGGGGTCTGTGTGCCACGGAGCCTGAGACCCCTGACCCAGGGCCTGCTAAAGCCAGGCTGTCCCAACCCTTCACCGCCTGCCAAGCCCCAGCACCAGGCACCGTGGGGACAGGAAACAACGCTCAGCTACCCCCATTTCCTACCCCACGGAACCCCAGCCCCCTGCCAGGGTGGCCCATGCTGTCTGTGGCATTGGCGGCGGGGAACAAAGCCTATAGCTAGGGCGGAAGCGGCAGGAAGGCCGGGAATCTTTTCAAAGCCTTGGATAATGGTGATAGGATACCAGCCTGGGGTCCAGTGAGCCTGAGAAGGAGGGGTGGGCCACAGCCTGCCCATTACCCTCACACCCGGAGATCAGCTGCTCCCCGGCCCCGCCGTTCCCTCGAGAAGGCTGAACCCACCCATCGGCAAACCCCTCTGGGCTGTGGCCGTGTGCCGCTGACTGGCCTCTCCCTGCCTCCTGTGCCTCCCACTCAGGCCCGAGTGACAAACCCCCCGAATGACATGGACTTTCCTCCTCCCACCGTGACCACTCTTCCCTGGCCCCTCTTCCACCCTTGAGCTCCCTCTTTCCTCCAAAACCAATACCCGAAGATCAGAGCTCGCTATGGAGCACGGTCCAGGCCCTGCACTGGGTTCAGCGAGTGCTTGCTCCCCTGTTACTATCACGGTGCGCCGAACCCTCCCACCAAAGACAGCCACACCTGCCTTTGGGAACTCTGGCCAAAAGCAGCAGCGGAGCTGACAGTCCAAGCCCGGAGACACCGCTGGCACAGTCCCCAGCAGAGCGCTCCTCGCCCAGGGGTCCGTGGAGGAACTCGGCAGATGGCCTTGTTTCGGCCTCTGCCTTCCCTCAGCCCTCTCAAGGGCTGGGCGCTGGCTGCAGCTACATCCTCTCCAGCGCGTGTTTACTTCTTACACACCTACTGTCTGCCCTACTGTATGCCAGGCCCTCCGCCAGGCCGGGGTCCAGGGTGGAAGCAGCCCCACTGTGCCCCGTTGGCACCCGCAGCACCACTGTGGGCAGGTGGCACTAATCCCATAGCATTTGTGTCACCACTGAAGACGGTACAAAGTGCCTCGGGAACGCCAGGCGCCGAGCCATGGCCTCTGCACGGGAATGGGGGTGGGACGAATCCTCAGAGATCCAGGAAACATTTGGGCTGGTTCCTGAGAGAAGGGCTCTAAGGCAGGCAGGTGGGAAGATCCCAGAAATTTTGGCTTGAAAACCATTTCAAGGTGTGCAGGGGCGGGAAGAGGTTGTAAAGATCGGTTGTCAAGGCCTTGCGGGGTCTGCTCGCACGTCAGGACCAGGGTGCTCTGTTCTATAGTGAGTTTCAGATCCTCCTCTAGAGGCCCAGGCCCTTGAGTCTAGGCCCTGACTTCAGCAGGTGGTGATGCTGCCCAGCCTGTGGCTTCGGAACACCATCATGGCACATTTGAAATACAGGACCAAGGCCATGTTCATTCCACAGAAGCACTTCAGTAACTCCATAGGACACTTAAAATTCAGAGGCTAGGCGGGGTGGCTCACGCCTGTAATCCCAGCACTTTGGGAGGGCGGATCACATCAGGCCAGGAGTTCGAAACTAGCCTGGCCAACATGGCGAAACCCCGGCTCTACTAGAAATACAAAAATTAGCCAGGCATAGTAGTGTGCGCCTATAATCCTAGGGACTTGGGAGGCTGAGGCATGAGAATTGCTTGAACCCAATTGCACTCTAGCCTGGGTGACAGAGAGAGACTCTGGCTCAAAAAAAAAAAAAAAAAGAGAAAATTCAGAAGCGAAACCTTCCAGGACTGAAGAAAGAAATGGACAAATCCACAAACATAGTGAGACACACAGACATCCTTCTCAATGATTGGTAGAACAAGTACACAAACAAACAAAATCAGAATAGAAAACCTGAACACTTAACCAGCCTGACCTCACTGACCTGGGGGGACATTCTGCCTGACGGCAGCAGACACCTGTCCTCATCAATGCCCCAGAAGCTTCCGCCAAGCTAGGACACATTCAGGCCCGTCGGGTAAGTCTCATCAAATTTCAAGGAACTGAAATCATACAGAGTATGTTCTCTGACCATGACAGAAATTAAAAATCAGTAACAAAAAGACATCTGGAAAACCCACAAATACTTGGAAATTAAGCAATCTGCCTCCAAATAACAGAAAGGTCAAAGAATAAATCACAAGGAAAATTGGAAAATACTTTAAACTGAATAACAAAAACACAACACATCCCAGTGGGATGTAGCTAAAGTGATGTTGGAGTGAACTGGCAACTCTAAATGCTGTTAGGCAAAGACAAAGCTTAAGAATCATCTCAATCCCTGCTGTGAAACATAAATCCTGTAAAATAAAGATTTTAGTAGAAAATTGAAAAAAAAAAAAAACCTTAAAAAGCCAGGGTTGGGTCATGCCAGGGGAGCCAAAGCACAAAACCTAGCAAACTGAATCCAAAGTGAGTAGAAGGGGCCGGGTGCAGCGGCTCACTCCTGTAATCCCGGCACTTTGGGAGGCCCAGGCAGGTGGATAACCTGAGGCCAGGAGTTCAAGATCAGCCTGGCCAACATGGTGAAACCCCATCTCTACTAAAAATACAAAAACTAGCTGGGTGTGACAGCGGGCACCTGTAGTCCCAGCTACTTGGGAGGCTGGGGCAGGAGAATCACTTGAACCCCGGAAACGGAGGTTGCAATGAGCTGAGATTGCACCCTGTGACACAGCAAGATTCCGTTTCAAAACAAAAAAACAAACAAAACAACAAAGTGAGCAGAAGCATGAATTAGTAACATTAAGAGCAGAAATCAATGAAACGGAAGAAGCAATCCAATCTGGCACCTAAAAATCAGATTTCACATAGAAGTCTCGATTTCTGGCTTCTCAGAGTTTCTGACAACAGTGGCCCTAGATTCTGACAGGGCAGCAAGGGGAAGGTACTGGGCAAGGGCCACCCTTCAGGCAGGACACACGTGCCCCAGATCATTGGGGGCCCCCCACACCCTTTCCTATTTTTTTCTGAGACAGGGTCTGGGTCTGTTGCTCAGGCTGGAGTGTAAAATCAGCTCACTGCAACCTCCATCTCCCGGGCTCAAGTCACCCTCCCACCACAGGTTCCCAAGTAGCTGGGATTGTTACAGGCATGTACCACCAGGCCTGGCTAATTTTTAAATTTTTTTTGGTAGAGACAGGGTTCTGCCACATTGCCTAGGATGGTCTCAAACTCCTGGGTTCAAGTGATCCGCCTGTCTTGGCCAAAATGTAATCCCAAAAGTGCTGGGATTCCAGGTGTAAGCCACCACGCCCAGCCACACACCCCTTCCTAACATGCCAAGTGCACCTCCCTCCCTCAGGCCCCTGCAGGCATTTGAGTTTGTGACACTGGGATGATCTCCTGCGGTACCAAGAAGTGGTGGGAAGGAGGGAAAAAGAAGTGAGAGAAGCGGATCTGAAACTCACCATAGAACAGAAACTTGGGGTTTGTGGCCATAAGGGAAGAAGAGGGCAGGGCTGAAAGCGGCTCTGGTCTTAAGTTTCTGGCTTGGGCAGTTGTGACAGGGGTAGCTTTTGCTGCTCTGCAAAGAGGAATGTTGCATGAGAGCCTTTGGAGAGGGGAGATGGCACATTCTGTTTTGGGCGAGTTGAGTTGGAGGCATTACAGGGATGTCCGAAGATGGAAATCTTGAACGGGTAGTTCAGAATGTGGGGCTGGAGTTGCAGTGAGAGGAATGGAATGGGATGGAAACACAGTTCCTTGCATTACCAGGAGCCAGGTGGTGGGCAAAGCCTGGGAGGACATCAAGGAACAGTCCTCAACTTTTTGTGAGTCACACACTCTTCTGGAACCAAGAAGGAAGAGGAACACCTACAAGTGGGAACGGAGTTTGGGGGATACTGACCAAGAGCTTCCAAGCCTGTCGCTGGGCCTCACACATCATACACCTGAGGCCGACGGAAGAGGGGCTGGACCTTATGAAACACCAGCAAGACTGGGCGTGGCAGCTCAGGCCTGTAGCCAAGGCTGGAGGACTGCCTGAGGCCAGAAGTTCAAGACGAGCCTGGGCAGCATAGCAAGACCTCCACTCTACAGATAAAAAAAAATGACCCCATGTGATGGCACCTGCCTGTGGTCCCAGCCACTCAAGAAGCCTGAGGTGGGAGGATTGCTTGAGCCTGGGAGGTCAAGGCTGCAGTGAGCTGTGATTGTGCCACTGTACTCCAGCCTGGGTGACAGAGTGAGACCCCCTTCTCAAAAACAAAAGAAACACTCGCAGCTAAAGCAGTTTCTCAACTTGTCCACTATGACAAATCACCTGAAGAGCTGATGGAAAACACAGATTCCCGGCACCCCCACCTACTCACTTGGAACGGGGAGAGCCCTGGAAATTTCATTGTTAACAGTGGGGCAGGAGAGGCAAAGATCACAGGAGAATCAGAGAGGGTGCAGGAAAGGAAGATTCCAGAAAGGAACAGAGGGAAGCAGGCAGCGTCAGATCCTTGGAGCCCAGACAGCAAAGGAGGCCAGCTGATGTGGCAATGGGGTCACCATGGGTGACCTGAGTGGAGCTGCTTTGGTAGAGCCATGAGCCAGACGGCCGAGGGTACTGGGAGGATGAGCAGATCGGGCAGATACTCTGCAAGTCGGGAAAGCAGACAGGACGGGGCTGGAAAAGTGGGCAGGTGACGAAGACTGCTTCACAAGGACAGAAAGTCTCAAGACTGCCTGGAGTCACATTAACCGAGGGAGAGGCAGGGGTGAGAGTGGGGTGGGAGGGTCCCGAGTCCTCTCCTCAGCCTGTGTGGCCACCTCGACTCACTGCATCCCCACCAGGTGTCGGAGGCAGCCGTGCTTCCAACATTTCACAGAGGGGAGACAGACACGGAGATTAAGAACCACCCTGATGTCCCACCATAGGTAAGTGGTAGCGTGGGGGCTGCTCTGGGGGCCCCTCAAACTCACTGCATCCCAAAACCAAGCTCAGATGCACCCCTTCCCTTCCAAGCATGGAGGGGAGTTCAGCACGAAATCCTGACTCTCCAGCCATGGAGTCCTCCCCCCATTCCCCTCAACCCCTGCCCTGTCTCAGGCCTGACACCCGAGTGGTGTCCTATCTCCCAGCCTCTTCCCACCACCCTTGCCAGCAGCCTCCACGCACAAACCCCTCCGCTGGCTTCTCATCACCCTGGAATAAAACCACAGGAGTCCAGACAGCCACACTAGGGACTTCTTCCAAGGTCCTCCACCATCTGGCCTGGGCAGCCCCCTCCACTGCGCCGACTTCCTCTTTCTTTTCCTGAATTCTGCTCTTCTGCAGACACACCACGGCGGTCCCGGTTCAGGGCCTGGCCTGTGTCCTAGCTCTTCCCTCTGCCCAGCACTCTCCTGAGGTTCTCAACAGGCCCCTTCCCTCAGGTCCCTTCAGGACTCTGCTTCAATGTCACCTCTCGAAGAGCCCTTCAGAGCACAGTGCCATGCCGCCAGCACCCGCCACCTCCTTCCCCAGCTTTTCCTCTCCTTCCTGTGCTGCCTGATGCCTGCTTTGGCTGTGTATGACTCCCATCTCTCCCACCAGAACACGCACAGAGAGCTGAGACCTCGTCTGGCCTATTACCTGCTGCACTGCCATATCTGAAGACGCAAAACGGGGGCTGGCCGTAGTATGCACACGCTGAATGAATGCCTGAGCTCAGAGAGGAACTGCTCAGAACACAACGACCTGGGCCACAGACCCCAGCCCCATGGCCACTGTTAGGACTGAGATTCAGCGCCTCACTCAGGCATTTAAGGCCTTCCTGATCTTCCCGATCTTCCCTCCTGAGGCATTCCAGATGGAACTTCTCCCACAACCAAACCAGCACCCCACAAAGTAACCTGACCCAAACTCCCCTCTCCCTGGGGAAGCCTCACCCCAGCCCACTCCCCATCAATGTCCCACGAGACCCGTGAGACATGAGCCCGCCGGCCTTCGAGCCTCCCCAACGCTCCAGGCCAGACTCCAGACCTGGCACAGGGCTTGTGCCGCTCGGCCCAGAACCCATGGGCAGTAAATATTTGTTGAATGATGGTTGTTTGGGTATAAGCACTCCCCTGGCACTTGCATGCTGCTGTGCCCACTACAGTGGCTACTGACAGGCGGGGTGGGGGTGAGGGGACAGTGTCGAAGGCCAAATGACCTGAGGTGAGACTTGGTGTTTCTGGAAAGGGCAGGATGCTCCGGCCTTAGGCAGCCAGAGGCAGAGCTTCATGCAGTTTCTGCCTCAGATGTGCTCCCTGGGGGAACAGACCTACTTCTGGAGGCCAGGCAGGCATGGGAATGAGGGATGTGAGCATGACAGCTGCCACGTGGAAAGGTCAGCTCAGGTGAGCCTGGTCAGCCCCAATTTTCAAGTGGGGCAGGCAATCCGTATGGGAACATGAAATCCACCATCTTAGATGTGGGCCATGAATTCAAGATCACCAGCCGAGTCAACACATGGCCAGTTCCAGTTCACACTCCCTGTCCCTCTATTTCTGACACTGTACTCTCCCCTCGTTGCTCACTTTCTACCTTTACAACGTCCAGCAAAGCCCTCTGGAGCACTTGTGGCCTGCCAGGAGTGGCTTCCCTCTCTGTCACTCCACACCCCGGGGCTGGCTGAGCCTGTGAGGGCGGTGGTCGGGGGGGACCCGGAGCCACACCTTGTCCTCACCTTCATTGTGCTGGGCTCTTCTCCTCTCATCTCGGGGTGTTCTGGTTCCATCAATTTTTCTAGAAAAGGAGGGAAAAAAAAGGGGCATGTATTATCACAGATTTGTTTGCCCAAGCATTTGTTAAGTATTAGACTTAAAAAATTATCTTTTTCAGGTAAATCCATGTGCAGAAATGAGATGATACTTTATGTGCACTGAAGAAGCAGAAACAGGCAAAGAAAAAAAATTACACCATGTGCCCGCTTCATGCTAACTGCCCAGCTTCTACTCCAGAAACCCCTCCCTTCAGTTCCAATGCCAGGCCCGCCTGGTGTCCCCTGCACATACGGAGAGTAGGGGTGTGTCCGGGGGGCGATCGTCCTCTGTGTTCCTGTCTGAAGCACATCCTGGGGCGTCATCATGACGTAGAACTGGCCTGCAGGGATAGTGGGGGTTAGTGGCAAGACAGGGTGAAGTCAGAACTGGTTGCAGGGGCTTCCCTCCCTGCTGGGCCCGCTGCCACCCCGACCTGCCAACCTGGCTTCTTCCTCTCCTCACCTCCAGCCTGCAAGCTCTGGTCTGTGGTCTGTACGGACACAGCCGTAGTATCTCCCACACTGGACGCTGGGAAATAGGCAAATCGTGCCTCCCCGCTGACAGCCTCGGCCGCAGGGCTGCCACCATTGCTGAAGGGATTTTGGATCACAGCCTGGGGAGTAGGAGGACAGAGACTACCCTTAGCTTTCTCTGTTCCTCTATCCGGTCCCCTCATTGCTGTGCTCGGGGTTTACTGCATTCTCCGCAATTAACAGGAGTGGGGACTCCTTCTGCGAGTAGCATTCTGTCCTGTGTCTCAGACAGCCCTGGAACATGGCAGGAGGTCAGCGATCACTTGCTGAGCCAATCCGTTTTGCACTCTAAGAAACTTTCCTCTTAGACACATCATTCCCATTTTGCAGAAAAAAAAAATTCCAAGAGCACCGTCCCCAGGTTTCAAGGTGCACAAGAGGAATCTGACCCCATGCAGCCTGAGGCTTGAAGGCAGCATCTCCTGGGCGACACCTGCCCCACCCCCGGGGATCCCCAAGAGCAGAGCCAGTGTCCCCTCTCCACCCCCCGTCCAGGGGTGGCAGGGCACCTACCAGCGGGAAGGGCGCTGCAGGACCTGGGGGCACAGAGGCAGCGGCGGGGCCCGGGCGCTGGGCTGCCCCGTCCACACCCACCTGGGTCACAGCCTGCTGCCCCCCCGCGAAGGCAGCGGTGGACACGACGCTGACGGCGCCAGTCGTGTCGCCCTGGCCGTCCAGCTGACCATCAGTCACCTGGACTACGCGGTATGTCACCTGCAGGGGGCGGCAGAGCGGCGAGGCCGGCGCTGGGGCCAGGTCCGAGCCTTCCCGGCGCGCCCGCCCGCCCGCCTGCTCGCTCGCTCGCCCTCGCGGCCCGCAGCTCACCTGTCCTCCATTTGTCTCTGTGCGGAACTGGTACTGGATGTTGTGGTCGCCGAACGCCGCCTGCTGGACGCTGGTGATGGCCACCGCTGTCTGCTCCTCCGCTCCTGGGCCGTCCCCGCCTGGGGCCGAGGAGGGTCGGGGCACGATCACGGCCGCGCCGGGCGCCCCCAGCCCTCCCCGGGCGCGGCCGGCCCCGCAAACACTCACCTTCCTGCAGCTCGACACCCTCCTCCGCCTCGGGTCCCTTGTCGTGGCTGCCGGGGGCACAGGAGGGAGCGGGATCAGCGCGGCTCGCGCCCCCGCCCCCGTGCCCAGCTGCAGGGCCCCCGTCCCTCCCGGCTGCGCCTGAGGCCGGGGGCGCTGCCGGGGCCGGGGTCTGGGGGCGGGAGACGCCGGGTCCCCCCCCGCCTCGGCGGCCTCCATTTTGAGCCGGGCCCGCGGCCGCTCGGGATCATGGCGGCCCCGGCCTGCAGGCCGCGGGGCCGGGGCCGGGGCGCGGGGGCACGGCCAGGCCGGGGATCTTACCTGGCGGCGGCAGCAGCGGTAGCCGAGGCAGCGGGATCCAGACCCGGGTCCAGCATGTCCATGGGGGGGGCGGGGGCGGGGGGGGCGCGGGGGGGGGGGAGGGGAGGGGAGGGGAGGGAGGGAGGGGAGGGGGCGGGCGGCCGGGGGGGCCCGGAGCCCGGCGCTCACGCCGCGCGGCAGGAGGGGACGGAGGAGATACGGGAGCCGCTCGCGCTGATCACGGGGACAAACAGTGGGGTCATGTGAGGAGGAGATGCCGCCGCCGCAGCCGCCGCCGCTCCTGCAGCCGCTGCAGCCGCCGCCGCCGCCTCCGCCTCCACCCGCCCGCCGGCTCCGGGCGGCCCGAGGCTCCGGGACGCCGCGCGGCCGCCCCCAGCCCGCCCGCCCGCCCGCCCGCTGCACGCGGCCCTCGGGCCTCCTTCCCTGAGCAGCCGCCGCCGCCGCGACTTTTTTTTTTGAACACGGCCCGCCCTGGCTGGCCGCCGCCGGTGCCCTGGATCGCCGGCTCGCGCAGCCGCCGCCCGGCCTGGCCCAGTCCGGCGGCGGATCGCTGCTGCAGCCGCCGCCGCTTTCTATTTTTCCCCCTTTTTTTTTTCCTCCTTTACTTGAGCTGCGCGCGCGCGGCGGCGGCGGCGGCGGCGGCGGAGGCGCGAGCCCGGGGCGGACGCGCGCTGGGGGAGGCGGCCCGGGAGCGCGCGCGCTGGCTGTCTCCGGGGGCGGGCGGGCGCGCGCAGGCCCGGGGCTCCGCGGGGCGCGAGGTCGCCGCGCGCCGCCCGGGTGAAACGAGGGTCCGGATGGAACGTCGGGGAACCCGGAGCAGGGGCTCGGGTCGCCGGGGGCCAGGTGGGCTGCCTGAGTTTGGAGACAGTAAAGTAGGTCGGTGGGGGGTGGGGGGATGGGCTGGAATGGGAGAGGGGCGCGCGCGCGCGCTCCCGGCAGTCGGCCTGCGGAGCGCGAAGGCGGAGGACCGGGGCGCATGCGCACGCCTGGGCGGGGCTGGGGCGCGCACGCAGGCGGGCGGCGGCTGCGCGGCGGGGCACGTTCTCCGGCCGGCGGCGCGGGCGCGGGCGCGGGCGCGGGCCGGGCCAGGCTGGGTCTCTCCTTCCCGGCCCGGGACTCCGGCGCCCCCGGGACGCGGGGTTTACAGACACACACGGGAGCAGTCCCCGTTCCCCGCCCTACGCGGCTGAACAAATGGTTCTCTCCAGAGCTTGTGATTATACGTTTTATTAGACTCGGGAGGGGCATGGCAGGGCTTCATCAGTGTTCCTTCAAATTAAAAAAAAAATACAAAAGCTACGTAGAAAACGTCAGATCAGACGACTAAACTTTCCCGACTCAGGGCCAGGTTCTGCAAGGGAGAAAGGAAGAAGGGTATGAGCCGCGGGGACCGGCTGGGGACCCAGGGACGATCTGGACGCCAGGGAGGGCGGCCCTCACCTTCTTGAGCCTGCGCTCGCGGGACGCCTGCGAGTCGGTCTCCGAGTACGGGGGCGGCGCGGGCGGATAGTAGGCCTCTTCCTCCTTGTAGGGTCTCCGTCTCTCCCCCGACCCCTTCTTCTTCACGGCCTCCTCCAGTAGCCGCCCATCATAGGGGGGGTCCCCGGACCTGGAGCCGTTGTCCCGAGGGTCCCGGGTACGGTGGTAGTGGGACCTGGGGTCGGCAGGGAGGCGCTCCCGAGACCTGATGTCGTCGTAGTGAGAGTCCCGGGAGCGTGGGAAGTCTCTCGAGTCTTCTTGGTCATAGAGGTCGTCCCGGCTGCGGCTCCGCGGGGGCATGTAGGCCCGGCCTCTCCTCCCACCACTACTCGGGGGAGATCTGCTCCCTGACTCGGCGGAGCTTGGCGGGGTGAGGTCGTCCAGGGCGTCCACGGAGCGGGCCCGGGGCCGCCTGGCCCGCCAGCCCCCGCCTGCCTGCTCCCTGGGGGTCTCTGGGTCCCATCCCCTGGGACTCCGGGGGGAGTGGCCACCCCACTCCTCATCCCGGATCGGGGTGAGGGCAGGGCCCCGAGAAGGCCGAGATCGCCAGTCGTCCTCATGGAGGGAGGTGACTTCACTCATGGCTGCAGGGAAGGGGGGGTGTCACTGACTACTGGAGGAGCCCAGGTTTGCCCAGGTCCAGGGTTTGCACCAAGAGTCCCTGGGGCAGGTATCAGGGAGACATGCTTCCCCCCTCCCCCCCGCAAGCTTAAAAGCCGTCAGACCCCAAGGTTCCTGCTCACCCCGCTCCACACGGCCATTGGGGGGGCCAGGTCGAGAAGGGTCGAAATTGGCCAGCTCCTTCTCCATGTAGTACAGGACCCGCATGGAGTCGTCTTGCTGGCTGGCCTGAATCCTGTAGCCACTGCGGACTTCTAAGGACAGGGTGGTGGTGGTCGGTTTGGGAGGATGGATCCTGGCCCAGCCCTCTCCCTTACAGGCACATCCAACTTTGGGATGATGGATTCTCACCAGAGGCCACACTGCTGTCTGTGTCCCGAAGCAGGGGTACGTAGGAACCTTGGCCACCAGCTGGGGGAGAGTGGCTGTCAGTTGCTGCTCACCAGGAGCAGAGCCCCTCCTCGGCTCCCAAGACCCTCTTCCTTCCAGCCCCTGCCCCTCAGTGTCCAGATGCCCAGCACACCCCCACCAGCTGTTCCTGCTTCCCCCAGCCTCACCTGAGCTACTCCTGTCGAGGTCCCCAGGGTACCCTCCAGGGTACCCGTTGTAGGCAGGGCCCATGGGAATCACAGTTGGTAGGGGCGGGGTCTTGGCGGGAGACAGGTGGGCATAGGTGCTGGGGGCATAGATGCTGGGAACACCTGAGGTGGCTGCTTTGCCGGCGGCATACACTGTGAGGACACAATGAACATGAGAAGGCGGGTGTGGCAGGAGCCAGGCTGCCCCATACCCATTGGCTTTCAGAGGGACCTGGGCCTGGACCTCCTTCCCAAGCCACCCTCTCCACTGTAGAGCTTCCGTGGGCATCTGAGTCCCTGCTGGTCCTCATTCCATTTCTGCAGCATCCCTGAGGTTGGGGGACACCAGCTTCACAGAGACCCCACCCCACTTCCTGTGTGGTTTTTCAGAGGGTGCACACAGGCAGCCCACGGCCCCAGGGTGGCAGGACAATGTTTCATTTAACAGCATGGTGATTTGCCAACGTTTGCCAATCAAAAGGTTTTACCTAAACTTCCAACTCCCCAGCTAACTTACTGGAAGAAGTGGCCACCCATGGTCTGTGTGTTTACAGGGCAACAAAGCTGCCCCTTTATATAAAGCCCAGGTGCTGCGTCCACCACTGTCCCCACAAGCCAAAATCATGTATCCTCTTTGGCGGCCAAGCCCCTGCTCTAGAAAAAATGAGTCATCTGGGAGACGTGCATCCTGCCCACCTGGTCACCTTCCAGACCGAGATGCAATGGCAGGAGCCTCAGGAGTTAACTTGCCTGCCCTGGCCAAGCAGCAGTGTCTCCTCCAGTGTTTCTAACTCATGGACTGCACCCATTCCTACCCGCCCTGTCAGGGTCTAGGCTTGACAGCTCGAGGTAAGATCCTCCTCCCTAGGGCAAGACGCTTGCAAAGTTCCTGGGCCCTAGGCAAGTGGCTTCCTCCCTGGGACCCCAACAGGTAAATGGAGGAAAGAGATGGGCCCAGAGAGGGTGCCTCACCTCTGATTTGGTTTGGAAGCAGAAGGCTAAGTGCACAGCCTAGAGGAAGCCCATTCATTAGCGCAGGCAGCCTGCAACTTCATCAGTGGCAGAGGCTGTGGCAGCAGCAGATGTAACAGGGCCTCTGCCAGAGAGTTAATGGGGTGCCAGGTTGGGGTAACAGGGTCTCCAGATGGAGGAAATGTGGTGTTGGGACCAGCATTTACAGTCCTGGCCCTAGCTCTGGTCTTAGTGGGTTCACTGCAAACTTGGTTGCAGCCCATCTGTGAAATGGACCTAACACTCACTGCCTGGGCAAAAAGCTGTCAGCTAAACACGACAAGAGGCGGGGGATGAAATGGCCTGCATAAGCCTCCAGGGAGCAGTGGAATTTTTTCAGGAAAGTGATCCTTTGAGGAACCAGGTTGCACACCACTGACTTCAATGACTATAAAATTAGCCAGTGACTTCCTTAATACCCACAACACCCCATGAAGTGGGGACCTAACAGAAGGAAACAGGACTCAGAGAGGGAAGGCTGCTTCTCTGGGGTCACTCTGTGTGCACCAGGGATCTGACTGGTGCCCTGGCCCTCAGTCACTACCGAGGCTGAGAGTGGCAGTGCCCAGCAGCTGGCAGACGTAGAATATTTTATATAGATCAGGTCCCATGCTCAATGGCGTGCACATGAGCTCACCGAATCCCCAAACGCACCCAGAGCGGTGAGCTTTGCCATAAGCCCCATTTCACAGGGGACGACACTGAGCTTTAGGGAGGGAAACTGCTCACTGGGCTTCTGAGCAGGACGGTGTCAAGCAGGCCTCAGCTCTCCACCTGCCCACGCTTGCAAGGATTGCCTGGTACTTCACTGTTCATGTGTCTTGGACTGTGCAGAAAGGCCAGTCTACCCAGACACCCTCCTGAAGGAAACCAAGGACTGGCAACAGCTGTGGTCCCCGAGGAGGGGAAATGGGACAGCAGTTGGAGGGATGCTGAAGTGTCCATCAGTGCCACTTAGTGTACACGCTGTGGCCTGGTGTCCCGGGGCTGATGGCTGTGACCACGTCTATCAGCTCCTCTGTGAAAGTGTCCCGTTGGGATATCACAAACATTCACAAAAGAGAGGCAGGAGCAAGTCTTTTTCAATTGCACATGTCTGACTCCTCTCATAGAGTTAAGTCTCTCTCTCTCTTCTGTCTTCTCTTACCTTCCCCTGCTTGGTTTGCTTACTTCCCCTTTAGCTCTAGCCCCACAGCCAGTCCCAGCTCTCCACAGTACCCATGCTGGTGTGCTAGATATGACCCTAGACGTAGTAACTGGGCAAAATGTGCAGCATTCCTGTGGATATGTTTTCAAAAATTTGCTTAAATTTGGCCAGGCACAGTGGCTCATGCCTGTAATCCTAGCACTTTGGGAAGCCAAGGTTGGGGGGCGGGGCACGGATTGCCTGAGGTCAGGAGTTCGAGACCAGCCTGGCCAACATGGCAAAACCCTGTCTCTACTGAAAATACAAAAATTAGCCAGGCGTGGTGGCAGGTGCTATATCCCAGCTACTCAGGAGTCTGAGGCAGGAGAATAGCTTAAACCCGGGGGACGGAGGTTGCAGTGAGCCGAGATCACACCACTTCAGTCCAGCCTGGGCGACAGAGTGAAAATGTCTCAAAAAAATTGCTTAAGTTTAAGGCCAGGTGTGGTAGCTCATGCCTGTAATCCCATCACTTTGGGAGCCTGAAGCAGGATCACTTGAGGTCAAGAGTTTAAGACCAGCCTGGGCAACATAGCAAGACCCTGTCTCTACAAAAAAATTTTAAAAATTGGCTAGCATGATGGCACATGCCTGTAATCCCAGCACTTTGGGGAGGCTGACTTGGGAGGATCACCTGAGGCCGAGTTTCAGATCAGGCTGGGCAACATACTGAGACCCCGTCTCTACAAAAAACAACAATCAAAAAATTAGCTGGGCATGGTGATGTGTGTCTATAGTCCCAGCTGCTCTAGAGGCTGAGGCAGGAGGATTGCTTAAACCCAGGAGTTGGAGGCTGTGGTGAGCTATGATTGCACTACTGCACTGCCTGGATGACAGTGAGACCCTTTCTCTAAATAAAAAAAAATTTTTTTTGCTTAAATCATGTAGTGTTGTAAACCTTGTTTGGTTTCTTACCTTTTTCACTTAAGATTTGTTTTCTTTTTTCTTTTTTTGGGGGGACAGTCTCACTCTGTCGCCCAGGCTGGAGTGCAGTGGCGTGATCTCAGCTCACTGCAACCCCCACTTCCTGAGTTCAAGCGATTCTCATGCCTCAGTCTCCTGAGTAGCTGGGATTACAGGCGAACACCACCATGCCCAGCTAATTTTTGTATTTTTAGTAGAGAACGGGGTTTTACCATGTTGGCCAGGCTGATCTGGAACTCCCGACCTCAAGTGATCCGCTCGTCTTGGCCTCCCAAAGTGCTGGGATTACAGGCGTAATCACTGGGCCTGGCCAAGATTTGGTTTTTTAAGAGGGCTTTACTTTCATGTGAATAGTATCTTGTAATGTTGAACATTTTTACCATGTGTATGGATTATACTTACAAAAGAAAAAAACAACATACATAAAAAGAAACTGAAAGTTGGAGGAAGTAAATGACAATCTAAAGCAGCAGACCCTCCTCAGCCTACTTTCTCCCCACTTGCTAAATTCACACCCTCCAGACCAATGCCACTGTCCTGGGGGCAGGTGGATGGCCAACTCCTTCCCTCAGACTCAGGATGTTGCCCGAACCAGGGTGGCCATGAGCAGGGCACTTACGGGCCTCAGGGCAGCAGCACTTGTCTGGGCAGCAGGGGCACCTGACGTAGCAGCAGCAAGTGTGTGGGCAGCACTGGCACCAGCAGATGCCCAGGAGGAGGAAGACGAGGAAGGCAGCCAGGCACACCACAACCACGAAGAGCCAGTCTGCAAAGAGAAAACAGGCCCTGAGCCCGGAGGCTTGGGAGGAAACAGGGCACAGCAGGGGCACACGGTGCGCAACCAGCACTGAGGTCGGCGACTATTTGCAAAGCTCACCAAGGAACCTGCAGCCCTGGCTGGATTCTTTGTGCTAGAGGCTGCGCATGGCACACTCCCCATTCTACCATCCCGGCCAGTCCCCAGTTAGGGCCCTCCCGCAGGTGCAAATACACAAGGCAGAAAACAAGAGGCAGCCTGCCCAGAGGGAGGCAGACTGCAGCCCCCAGACCAAAGAGAGCCAGCTGCCCAGACGCCACGCCCTCAAGAGCACCGCAGGTGCCAGTCACAGAGCCCCGGCCTGCACCCCGGCTCTCCTCAGCCCAGCCCAGCCCAGGCCACTAGATGCCTCAGAGCCACAGTCAGGCCAGGTTAGTGAGGGGTCCACAGTGAGCAGGGTTTAGTGGGGAAGGGGATGCTAACTAGAGTCAGAAGCAGTAGGTGATGTGTGGGAGCTCCTCAGAAGCCCAACACAGGATCCACCCCCCGTACCTTCCATGGGCCCCGCCTGAAAACCAGGTAAGAGCTCAGCCACCCCTGAGGTCCTCCCTGGAGGGACAAAAGAGAAATAGATTATGCTGGCCAGAGCCAGCCCAGGCTGCGCCGCCCCCGAAAGCCCAGTTCCAGGCTGGCCAAGTGGAAGGTGTGCCCTGAAGTGGGGAGGGGCTGAGGACTGAAGCCCTAGCGCATGGCTTCTGCCCTCCACCCGCCCACATGTGGGTGCTCATAGGAAAGAAATTCCCATTGCATAATCCACCTGTGTCTCATGCCACGAGGACTCCAACACAAATCCCAGGGGGTTCTGAGGGCTCTGCCTCAGCTTGGGCACCCTAAGTTTTCCTCATTCATAGGTTTTAGCACCCCAAAGGGCTCCAACCACGGTGACAGGGATGTCCTGTTCCAGCAGGCACAGTGCCCTAGGGCCCACGAGATAAAGAGACAGGATCTCAGCTCTGTCGCCCAGTCTGGAGTGCAGGGGTGCGATCATGGCTCACTGCAGCCTCAACCTCCTGGGCTCAGGCGATCCTCCCACCTCAGCCTCCGGAGTAAGTAGCTAGGGCTACAGGCACGTGCCACCACACCTGGCTGAAATGGTTTAATTTTACTTTACAAATCTGAAAAAAAATAAACACTGAATATATAGTAATAAACTGTCTTTGTGAGAACATAATCACAAATTTTTGTTTTAAAACAGGAAGGGACCCATTGAAGCAAAAATGCCCACATATGAAAGTCACACGCAGTCCTGGTTCTGGGGCCCACAGGGTCTCCATCTCTACTCAGGCATTATCACATTCGCGCATCTCAGACCAGGTTCTTATCTTCCCTCGAGTGCCCCCTGGAGCTCTGAGCCCCACCAGCATTGTGTCTGAGGGGCCTCCACAGGCCCAGTGCTGCACCCATGAAGCCCTCCCCAGAGCTCATGCACTTGGGACCGTAGGCCCTCGCAACAGGACAGAGGCATGTCAGTCACGGCTCTCAAAGCATGGTCCTGTCCACAAGGCCAGAAGAAGTATTTTTAGAATAACACTAAGATGTTATTTGTCTTTTTCACTTGTTCTCCCATGAATGTCCAGTGGAGTTTCCCAGGCTCCCTGAAGTCATCATGGCCCTGATGCCTAATGGACTATATGCTTGTGTATGTGTGTGTTTCTTGAGCCAGGGTCTCTGTCACCCATGCTAGAGTGCAGTAGCATAATCACGGCTCACTGCAGCCTTGACCTCCTGGGCACAAGCGATACTCCTGCCTCAGCCTCCCAAGAAGCTGGGGCCACAGGTGCATGCCACCACGCCTGTTAATTTTAAAATTTTTTGTAGAGTCAGGGTCTTGCCATGTTGCCCAGTCTTGCTTGTGTATCTTGGGCTTGAAAAATTTCCCCATTTTAATTCCTAATATATTAAGCAACATATAGACATAAAACCCACAGGAACAAACAAAAGCTCTTGGAGACCCTCGATAATTTTTTAGAGTGTAAACAGACCCGGAGACTAAATTTTGGGAACTGCTGATGCAAATGGTGCATTTTACCAAAGAACACGAAGAGGTTCCTGGGTCACTGGTGCACGTGTTCCGTCCCTCACACATGAACTCTGTCTTGCAGCCCAAGTACTCCCCAGTCACGTGCTCACTCACACATGTGAAGATGGCAGTGTACAGCCCAGCGGCGTCACTCCTGCAGAGCACATGCCACACGAGACTCCGTGTGTTGGCTTACAGCAGGGTACCTGGCGGATGGCAGCATCCCCCTAACACATGGAGGGAGGCCTTCCAGCCACACAGACACCCCGCCCTGCCCCTGGGTGTCTGGAATCGGCTTCGTTTCAGCTGCACTCACACACTCTCTGTGTGTGCCATGCAGCGCCATCCCAGCGGGGCACACGGCAAAGCCACTGTGCTTTAGCGAGGGACTCAGGTGAGATGAGGCCTTGGGGATGTAGCAGGAGGTGGGTCAATTTTGCACACCATCAACTGTCCTCATTCACTGCCCATGGACTCTGACCATGTCTGGAATTTTTTTTTTTTTTTTTTGGGACGGAGTCTTGCTCTGTCGCCCAGGCTGGAGTGAGTGCAGTGGCGTGATCTTGGCTCACTGCAACCTCTGCCTCCCGGGTTCAAGCAATCCTCATGCCTCAGCCTTCTGAGTAACTGGGATTACAGGCATGTGCACCACCACGCCTGGCTTTTATGTTTTTTGTAGAGACGGGATTTTGCCATGTTGGCTAGGCTGTTCTCGAACTCCTAGCCTCAAGTGATCCCCCCGCCTCCGCCTCCCAAAGTGCTGGGATTACGGGCATAAACTACTGTACCCGGACCCCAAGTCTGGATTTTTTTTTTAAATGAGACTTTGAAGAGGCAGAGTCACCAATTCTCTCCACTCTTAGTTTGGCTTGGCTGATTGGAGGCACCGTGGGCCAGTGGTCCCTGCCTGGGGTGCAGGGCACAGGGGGCCCTAAGTGACTGGCAGAGCCTGGGGGAGAGCAGAGCAGGCGACAGAGCCCAGAGGGTAAGCTGGAGGGCAGAGGGCGGACACGGGGGAGGACAGACAGAACAGAAGCGGACAAAAGGAAGGGCCATGCCTCCCCCTTCCCAGGCCCACTCACCAAGGACGATGAGCTCTGCGTAGGCCTCATTGTTCCCCTCGAGGTCCTGGGCTGAGACCACAGAGCAGTAATACACACCGCTGTCCCCCCACGCCGTCTCGTCAAAGGTCAGGTCAGCATCTGGGTCAGGATGAAAAGGCGTGAGGGCACCTTAGAGGCCGGGGCACCTAACCCCACAAGGGTCAGAGCCCCCTTCCCAGCACATCCAGGAGGGGGCAAGCGGTGGGCTGGGCAGGCTGAAGATGATCAAATGCATATGCAAAGATTCCTACCAACGGCACACGGCCTTTTACGCCCCGTTCGAAACACCTGGACTACTACAAGAAGTCTGCGAGGCAGGGCCGTTATCACTCCTCTTTTGTGGATGACGTATCGGGTCTGGAAAAGCTGCACAGCTCCTCAGTGTAGAGCAGTAATGGTGCCCTCAGAGCCTGAGGTTGGTTTTTTTTCTTTCTTTCGAGACAGGGTCTCACTCTGTGGCCCTGACTGGAGTGCAGTGATGTAATTATAGCTCACTGCGGCTTCAACCTCCCAGACTCAAGCAATCCTCCCACCTCAGTCTCCTGAGTAGTTGGGACTACAGGCACACTCCACCACACCCAGCTCTCTTTTTTTGTTTGAATCAGAGTTTCGCTTTTGCTGCCCAGGCTGGCGTGCAATGGCGCGATCCAATCTTGGCTCACTGCAATCTCCGCCTCCCAGATTCAAGCGATTCTCCTGTGTCAGCCTCCCATGTAGCTGGGATTACAGGCACCTGCCACCATGCCTGGCTAATTTTTGCATTTTTAGTACAGATGGGGTTTCGCCATGTTGACCAAGCTGGTTTCGAACTCCTGACCTCAGGTGACGCACCCGCCTCACCTCCCAAAGTGCTGGGATTACAGGCGTGAGCCACCACACCCAGCAGTCTGTGCTTCTCAACTTCCAGCCATCTCTGAACCACCTCTCAGATCCAAAGTCTGAACTCCCCTGATGTGAACTGCCACCCACAGGGCCTAGTGTACACCAGGGATGGGTGTGGAAATAAACAGTCCAGATTCTAGGTACCAGGAGATGCCCAGGCACCCATAAGGAGTGGGTGTGTCTGTGTGGGGGAGAGAGACTTACCCCCCCCAGGGCCTTGGTCCCTCCCCCTCCCCTTCCATCCCCACATTCCAGGTCAGGCCCAGGGCTTGGGGACGCTCATGTCTGAAGCAGCTGCAGACAAGGAGCCTGTTAACTCTGCCAACCATCAAAGTGTTTTGGCACATCCTGTTTCCTCTCTGCTCCTCAGGCCCTAATTAGTTAAATACCTTCAGCCTTTCACCAAGGTGGGACGCGGGCACCTACCAGGCAACTCCGCCTTAGGCCAGTGGGGAGAGAAGTACACTATACTGGGCATCTCGGGCAGGAAACGCCCTCAGCTTCCCAGCCTCTTTCCTGCCAGCCTGACCTGCCTGCCACCTTCCCAAGGACGCGCTGCCTTCCTGCACGACAGCTCTGTGATGGCGGCAACCACGCATGCCAGTCCACAGCGCCTGGCACCCCCAGGAATGAAAGAACCCTTTCCGTCTTCTTTCTTCACAAGGAAGGCCTCATGTCTACAGAAAAATTCTCCTTGCAACCGTGTCTCACTACAGCATTCCCGACGCCTTCCCTAAGGTTCCATGGTCCCCAAGGCCCTTGGCACAACATGGTCTCTAGCTACCATGCCAGCCTCACCCCTGCCATCGCCTTGGCTCTAGATTCGCACTGTCCCCCAATGGGCTGGGCTTCTCCCACAGCTCCCCCAACCAACTGGTGAAGTCTATCTCCCAGCTTAGGGGCCGACCATCCCTTGCCTGGTGAAAATGTGGGCTCCACGAGGCACAGCCCTGTCACTGCTGGGTCCCCAGTGCCTGACACTATACCTGGCCAGGAGTAGAAATGAACACCCTCTTTGCCGGACACGGTGGCTTACACCTGTAATCCCAGCGCTCTGGGAGGCTGAGGCGGGTGGATCACTTGAGGTCAGGAGTTCCAGACCAGCCTGACCAACATGGTAAAACCCTATCTCTACCAAAAATGTAAAAAATTAGCCAGGCATGGTGGTGCGTGCCTGTAGTCCCAGCCACTCAGGAGGCTGAGGCAGGAGAATCACTTGAACCCAGGAGGCAGAGGTTGCAGTGAGCTGAGATCGCGCCAGTGCACTCCAGCCTGGGCAACAGAGCGAGACTGCATCGCAAAAAAAAAAAAAAAGAAAGAAAAAGAAATGAACCCCCTCTCCCGTCATGCTAAAGTCCCTTAGCTTTTGTCATCTGTCCTGTCATTCTGGGCACATGGCTGGATTCAAAGACACATTTCATTCATTCATTCATTCTTCAACAATAATTACTGAGTGCCACCTACGCTCTAGGCAGTATTTGAGACACCTGGTATACCACAGCAACAGTTCTCAAACTGCAGCCTCTAGACCCTGGGGTTCCCCAAGACATTTTCAGGAGATCCTGAGGTCAAAGTTATTTTCCCAACAATACTAACTGGAGTTTTCCAGAGGCTACGTGACATATGACAGACATCACAGCAAACCGAAGCAGCTTTGAGAAGCCAGGCTCTTCTATCCAGCCAGGCTTCAGAGATTTGCAAAACAATAAAACCATGGCACCTTCTCATGCACAATATTTTGTCTGCTTTCAGAAAATGACTTTTTCATAAAAGTTATTTTATTTATGTTAATCTATAATGAGATGTCATTTAAACTATTTTGTAAACTTTTCTCAGTCTGCTACCTTTGAAAACAAACTCTTTGAGCTCTTATTATTATTATTATTATTATTTTTTGAGATGGAGTCTCGCTCTGTTGCTCAGGCTAGAGTGCAGTGGCGCGACCTTGGCTCACTGCAGCCTCTGCCTCCTGGGCAAGCGATTCTCCTGCCTCAGCCTCTTGAGTAGCTGGGATTATAGGCACCAGCTACTCATAACTGGCTAATTTTTATATTTTTAGTAGAGACAGAGCTTTCACTATGTGGGCCAGGCTGATCTGGAACTCCTGACCTCAAGTGATCTGCCCGCCTGTGCCTCCCAAAGTGCTGGGATTCCAGGCATGAGCCACTTTGCTAGGCCTGAGCTCTTAATTAACCTCAAAATCAAGAGTGTAAAGAGGCCTAAGCCCAGAACCTTTGAGTTATAAATCCTTGCCCTTGTCCTTCTAGAGCTCAGATTCTAACTGGGAAAGAAAGACAAATAAAAAATGTAACTATGTCACATATCAGACAAAGATAAGCTGTATGGAGAAAACGAATCAGGGACAGCAGACAGAGAGTGCCAGGCGTGGAGTGGGGGCTGTGCCATTTTAAACAAGGAGGCCAGGGAGGCTTCCAGATATGGTGACCTTCAGAGCAGATGTGAAGGGGTTGAGGACACGACTTCCCCTAATGATCAGGCATCTAAGCCACTGTCAAGTGATCCACCTGCCTCGGCCTCCCAAAGTGCTGGGATTTTACAGGCATGAGTCACTGCCCTGTGCCCCCACCATTTATTGAGCTCTTACTATGTGCTGGGCCCCTCTGCACACATTCTTTCATTGAATCCTCATAGAATTCTAAACTAGGTTCTCCTAAATCCTCCAGGTTTGCCACAATGCCCTCTTTGTCCATCATTTTTCCACCTATATCTTTTCTGAGAGGGCCTAGCTTTGTCGCCCAGGCTGGAGTGCAGTGGTGCGATCATGGGTCACTGCAGCCTCGAACTCCTGGGCTCAAGCAATCTTCCCATCTCTAGAGTAGCTGGAATTACCAGGGTGCACCATCATGCCCCGCTAATTTATTTTTTGTAGTGTCTGGGTCTCACTCTGTTGCCCGGGCTGTTCTCCCAACTCCTGTCCTCAAGCAATCCTCCTGCCTCAGCCTCCCAAAGTGCTGGGATTATAGGCATGAGCCACCAGTGTCTTCAAATGAGACCCTGACTATGCCTCTCCAACAATGGAGCTCAAGAGCTGGTCCCTGCTGTAAGCAAAAGACGTGGACAGGAACCCCCTGACATAGCAAATGGATCTTATAGGCCAGGGGTTGAAATCTGGCATCTCATAGGCCAAGGCTGGACCTCACTGTGTTTTATTTGACCTGTCTGACGTTTTCAAAACTCACAAAAAATATAGTTTTCTGGCTTCTTTTGATCCATCCTAAGGCCTGGGCACACCTTCTTCCTGCAGGGCGTACCCTGTTCCTGGTCCTGGGCTGGCGCTGATCTCACCCGGGCTGAGCGTTGCTTTCATTGTTTTAGGTTAGGGGAGGAGATGCCAGGTCTCCAGGGGGAACAGCAGCCAGGCCTCCTCCACATCTCCAATCTCTGGTTCCTTTATACACTGCAAAGGTGACCTTCATGATTTCAGAGGTCCCATGGGCTCTCTGCTGCAGTGCAGCTGGAGTTGGGAGCACTTGGACCCCAAGGAGCCTGAGGAGGTGGAACAGGGCCTCCTGTCCAGGTGCTGGTCTATCACCCAAAGCATGAAAGGATGAAGCAGGGCATGAGCCACCTGACCTGAGGGACGCCTGGAGTGGACGGCCTCCTAGTTCACCCAGGACTATTTTCACTTTTGAAACCAGGATAGGCCGGGGATGGTGGCTCACATCTGTAATCCCAGAACTTTGGGGGGCCGAGGCAGCAGATCACCTGAGGTCAGGATTTTGAGACCAGCCTGACTAACATGGCAAAATCCCATCTCTACCAAAAAGATACAAAAATTAGCCAGGTGTAGTGATGTGCACCCGTAATCCCAGCTACTCCGGAGGCTGAGGCAGGAGAATCGCTTGAACCTGGGAGGCTGAGGTTGCAGTGAGCTGAGATCACACCACTGCACTCCAGCCTGGGCGACAGAAAAAAAAAATAATAAAAAATAAGCAGCACAGTGGGTGACCCTAGGAACACCACGGGGAGTCCACTTTTCCCCATCCTCAAAGCTGAAACGGAGGAAGCTCCTTTGGCTACGGGTTTTCCTGAAAGGACACACACACAATGGATGTTTACACTCAGGGCCTTGATCAAACACGGGCCCAGGTGGGGGTGGTTTGAAAGACCCAGGCCTGTGAGGCCCCTGAAGCATGCAGGGCCCCTTTCCCCAGACAGAGCCTGGGGGGTCATCCTGGACTTTTGTGCCCAGCAGAGGAAGCACCCTCAGTATTTGGCTTGTCCTGGCAGGAGCTGAGCAGTCATGCCCAGTCCAGGCAGGCACAATCCCTGGGTTAGAGGGGAGGGGGCCTAAGAAGCTCTGTGACCTCAGTAACAGTAGGATGCTCATGGCTGAGCGGCCCACAGAAATCCAGGGCAAGCAAGCCTGGTGCGTCCTCTGAAACAGAACTGACACAGGCTCAGCCCCTGGAACCCTGCTTCCCATCGATCCTCCAGCAGAATGTGCTCCAGTTCCTGGCTTCCTGGGGTCTGCAAAGGGATGCTCCCTTCCCCCTTCAGTCCCATGCCCAACTTTAAATGCTTGTTTAAGACAGTGAACACACACTAAGACATGAGGTAGATGAGCCCTCATCCCTGGCACCCTGCCCCTCCCCTTCCTCTCTGTCTTCTAGGTTCTGTAGGGCCCAGGCCCAGGCCCTCCTCAAATCATATTCACAGCCCAAGTCACTCCATGTGGCACATCACCCAGTGCTATTTTCTTTTCTTTTTTCTTTTTTTTTTTTTTTGCAACGGAGTCTCACTCTGTTGCCCAGGCTGGAGTGCAGTGGCACAGTCTTGGCTCACGGCAACCCCCGCCTCCCAGGTTCAAGTCATCTCCCTGAGGACAGAAACCAGCCATCCCAATCACCTCTATCCCCAGCACCAATGACACATAGTAGATGCTTGATAAATACCAAATGAATGAATGAATGAATGACTGCCCTTTACTTAGTCCCAACAGGCACATCCTATCAGGAGGCAAGCACTACAGTTAAGAACAAGGGTTCTCAGGGCTGCCTGGGTTCAAACTCCAGCTCCAGACTTTGACTTCCTATGCGCCCATTTGAACAAGGTAACCTCTCTGTGCCTCAGCTGTCGGGAGGGTAGAGGAGAGGACTCAGTGGGAGAAAGTGTGTGCAGTTCCTGGCACGTCGTAGGCTTTCTCCATTAAGATCTCTTGCCCCTGCAGTTCACTCCTGCCACCTCCTCTGAGTTCTGTGGACCACCCTAGGCAAGCAAAGGGATTAGGAACTTGGCCACTAGACCCGAAGCGGCCGAGTTAGAATCCCAGCCCCTTTACCAGCGATGTGATACTAGGCAAGTCACTTTCTCTCTCTGGGCCTCTGTAAGATGACAGTAATAGAATCTATTCAAATACTATGTGGTCTGAGTTAATCCTTGGGAACCTGGATGGGAGCTTAGCACACAGTAGACCCTTTATAAGTTGTTACTTAGATAAATTTTACTTCTTACTGCTCGTGTTACTAATATGATTATAGAACAAACCCTGGCGTCCTCTCTCCATTACCTAGTTTTGTTTATCTTCAAGCACTTGAGAGTGTGTGTTGTGTTTGTCTCTCACTGCAATGTGGGCTCCATGAGGGAAGTAGTTTGATGTTTTTTTTTGTTTTTTTTTTTTGAGACGGAGTCTCGCTCTGTCGCCCAGGCTGGAGTGCAGTGGCCGGATCTCGGCTCACTGCAAGCTCCGCTTCCCAGGTTTACACCATTCTCCTGCCTCAGCCTCCCAAGTAGCTGGGACTACAGGCGCCCGCCACCACGCCCAGCTAGTTTTTTTGTATTTTTTAGTAGAGACGGGGTTTCACCGTGTTAGCCAGGATGGTCTCGATCTCCTGACCTCGTGATCCGCCTGTCTTGGCCTCCCAAAGTGCTGGGATTACAGGCTTGAGCCACCATGCCCGGCCTGATGATTTTGTTAACAGCTGTATTCCCGGGGCCCAGAACAGCACCTGGTACATGACAGGTACTCAAAAAAATCTTCGTTATTAAATTAAGGAATGGAAAGATTAGCAGAAGGAAGAATAGTAGAATAGAATTGCTCCCTTTAGGCTGGGTATGGTGTCTCCCAGCACTCTGGGAGGCCAAGGCGGGCAGTTCATTTGAGGTCAGGAGTTTGAGACTAGCCTGGCCAACATGGTAAAACCCCATCTCTACTAAAAATATAAAAATTAGCTGGGCGTGGTGGTACATGCCTGGAGTCCCAGTTACTTGGGAGGCCGAGGCAGGAGAATTGCTTGAACCTGGGAGGTGGAGGTTGCAGTGAGCCGAGATCACACCACTGCACTCCAGCCTGGAAGCCTGGAGTCCAGAGCAAGACTCCATCTCAAAAAAAAAAAAAAGAAAGAATTGTTCCCTTCATTGGTCCTTTCAGACACTGGCACTCAAGAGCTTTCAGATGGGGACTCCAGGTCCAGTACAAGGATGCCAGTCCCACCACCCGGGCAAGCCCAGCCTCATCCCCCTGCCCCGCCCAACATACTTCCGGTGATGGTAATCCTCCGACCCTGGTAGTAATCTCCCAGGGTCACAGCGTTGCCCTGCTTGGTGGCCACGACCCTGACGGTGCGCACGCTGTCCTGGCACTCGACGTAGGGGTTGTAGCCTGGGTTCCCGGCTACCAGCTGGGCATTGAGCTGGTTGTCGACGCTGGCTGGGGAGAAGGCATCAGCGATGCGGTCCCGGCAGAAAGACTTGTACTTCCAGATGACGATGGGTTGCGTGGGGGTCGAGGTCATCTGGTAGGTACAGGGTAGGGTCACGGGCTGGAAGAGGATCACCACGTGGTAGGGGTCGGACACGGTCACCTGGATGGCCCTGGCAGGGGCTGAGGGCAAGAGGAGAGAAGCAGGGGTTGCTGTGAGCTCAGGGAGGTGTTTCAACAGGAACGCCACCTGTCACCAGCTTGACACCTGCAAGTGTGTGGTTTACTTACAGAGTGCCTGGCACACATTGTTCCTTAATTGCCAGGACCACTGAGGTAGGCAGGATAATCATGCCCATTTTATAGACCCGTGGGGCTGAAGTGGCAGGTGCACGGTGACACAGCCAGTTTCCTTGGACTCATCCGCCATCCCTCTTCCCAGCCTGTGGCCTCTGAATCACACCAGTCTCCTCTTCCCTTTGCCATTCACCCACAGCAAGGGGCCTCTGTGTGGCCTGGGCAGGCAAGCCCAAATGGCCATGTCAATGCCCCCAGCGCCCAAGGCCCCACTTCAAAACCGACTACCAAGGATTCCAGGTTATCCGGGGTCTTTTGAATTTGGAGGGAAAACCGCAGAGTTGTTTGCCTGAACTGCTTTGCCATGGAGGGACTAAAGCCCCCACAATATCTCCATCAGCCTCCCACCACCTCACCCTACTCTAAAGTCATTTCAAATGACTTCACCAAAAGCGTCTGCTGAAAGACCTCATCACTACACAAACATCCCATCCTGGTGAAAGCCTGCCAGCAGAAGTCGGTTTCAAGTCCGTAAATCCACCCCATCAGACTCTTACGCACGTATAATCCGGAACCCGCGGGAGGTGGGTGGGGTGCGGGGGATGGGAAGTCCCTAGTCCCACACCCACCCGAGGCCTGGGCATTGTTCCTCCGTCTCTGTCCCTCTAGGAAGCGTCTGATCCAGCCCTCCCGTGCCCTCTCCCCGTTACTCCAACACTTAGAAAACCCCGGGAGCGCCCAAGCTCCATCCCGGCTTTTCTTTTCCTAGTGATCGGGCGGTCCTCCACTCCCTCCCCACAAAGAGTTCCATTCTCCCTGCCGCTCCCGGTCTTACCGTCCAGGGAGTTTCACTTCCTGCTATCTCCCAGATAAGGGCGGGGGGAGCGCTCCCAGGCACGGATGGGGAATTCCTCTCACTCCGGCACGCAAGAGATCGCCCAAGACCCAGGGGATCGTAAGGACCCAGCCTCTGAGACCTCCCGCTTCCCGCGCCCTAGGCGCCCCCGCCGCCTCCAACTCCATCCATCCCCCTCTACGGTGCCCTCCGCCGTTCCGCAGCGTCAGGGGCCCCGTGCCCCGTACCTGTGAACCAGGTGCTAAGCAGGAGCCACACGAAGACTACCGCGTCCCGGCCTGGGGCGGCCGGGTGGGAGCCCAGCCCTCTACAGAGCCCGCCGGCCACCAGCGCCATCGCGGCCGTCTGGGCGCGTCCGGCCCGCGCGTCCCTTCCAAAGTATCTTAGGGGGCGCGGGGCGCACCAAGGCCAGGAGGGGTGCACGCTCCTCCCCTTCCCACTTCCGTTCCTTGTCCCTACAACAAGTCCATCCTGCTGCGTTCTAGAAGTTTTAATGAACGTAAACGAGGTGGACAAAGGGCACGCTTTCAGATATGGGGAAGAAAGGTGCTTGACCCGCCGCGGTTCTCCGAGCCACACTCCACCCGCTGCGCGCTCCGGTGAATGGTTCGGCCCAGGTACACAAGGGTGGGAGCCGAGGGCTGGGCTTGGGGGTGAGTGGCGGGGAGGGGTTCCTCTGCCTCCCTCCCCGGAAGTGGGCTGACCCAGGTGCGCTCCGGCCCCCAGGGCCCGAACCAAGTGACTGGCCCGCTGGGAGGGCGCCTGCGGACCACAGGTCCCGTCCGGCCCCCATCTGCTCCGGCCAAACTAAGCGCACCGAGATCCACGAAACCGAGACCCACTTGGAGCGATTCACCTGTTGAGATAGGGCAGGACCCGCAGCGCACCTGTTCCCTCCCTACCCACACCCCTCTCCCAGGCGGGCGATGGACCCGCCTAGGTGCGCCCTGCCGGGAGGAGCGAGTCTAAGCAAAGTCCTGGCGGGGAGAGGCTTGTCGGTGGCGCCTGACTTCTCCACTTCCACTGGGGTTCGTCCGGACCGGGTGGAGGGGGGCACTTCAGGCCCCCTGTGTCTCCCAGTTAGATGACCTGAGGAACCCTCTGAAGTCCCCGGAAGGGAAGCTCTGCCCCCTCAGGGATGCCTGAGGGGAATCAGGCCCAGGAAAAGTTGGAATTCCACTTCGGAAGTTTTCGCCACCTCCCCCACCCGTTCCCAACTTGTGGTTCGGCCCCTGGGCATCCCTAGCCCCAGGTCAGCCCTCCGGAAATTCTGGCTCTTAAAGGGGCCGAGCGAAGGCGCTGGGCCTGGGACCGGTTTCCGCGTAGGAATTCCCGGGACTAGCCACCTGCAACCGAGGTCCGGGGCGCGGCGCGGCGATCAGCCTGCGCAGCGCTGGGCGCGACTCTGCTGTCTCCAGGTGGCGGCGAGGGGAAGCGCATCCTGGGGGAACCCTGGGCGCCTCCTCGCGTTAGACTCCCCCAAGTTGCCAACTGGTCACTGGCTGGTTTCGGTACCCATGCGTGCTTTGTTTTACTGGCCCGGTTAACACTCAAGCCAGTTGACGTCCACCTGCTCACAACCCGCCTGTGGCTCCTCCTCACTCTCAGCAGAAACTGACCTTCCCTCTCTTATCTCACCTCCTCCCACTCTCTGGCTTACTCAGCTTCAGACACCCTGGCCTCCTCGCTGTTTCCAAATATGCTTCTCACAGTCCTCAGAGCCATCGCCCGTGCTACTCCCTCTGCCAGAACACCCTTCCCGCAGATGTCCACATGAACTTCCTCCTCCGGTAGGACACTTTGGCAGTGACACCTTCCCTGGCCACTTTTTATAAAATTTCAACCCATTCACGTTCCTTCATCATTTTAAAAAATGTTTTTATGATAAAATATGCAAACTATAATATTTATCGTTTTAACCATTTTAAGTGTAAAATCCAATGGCATTAAGTACATTCACAATGTCCTGTACCAGTCACCACTCTTTATCCCCGAAACTGTTTCAACACCCCCAACATAAACTCTGTGCCCATTAAACAATAACTCCGCATTACCCGCTACCCTTGCCCCTAGTAATTTCTATTCTACTTTGCTTATTAAATTGCCCATTCTAGATGCCTCATGTAAGTGGAATCATCTAACATTTGTCCTGGGTCTATTGCATAAAGAATAATGTTTTCAAGGTCCATCCATGTTGTAGTATGTCAAAGTCATGTAGCATGAAGTAAGATCAAAATTTCTTTTTACAGCGAACTAGTGTACCATTGTATGTATATGCTACGTTTTATTTATCCATTCATTTGTGGATGGACATAGGTTGTTCCTACCTTTTGACTATTGTAAATGGTGCAGCTGTGAACACTGGTGTACAAATATCTGCTTTCATTTCTTTTGAATATATGCCTAGGAATGGAATTGCTGGGTGACTTGGTAGTTCTATTTTTAACCTTTTGAGGAACTGCCAAACTGTTTTGCCCAGTGGCTGCACTATTTTACATTCCCACCAGCAATGCATGGAGGATTCCAATTTCTCCACATCCCTACCAAAACTTATTATCCATTTTCTTGATTATAGCCATCCTGGTTAGTGTGTGAAGTGGCATTTCATTGTGGTTGTAATCTGCATTTCCCCAATGACTAATGATGTTGAGCATATTTTCACGAATTTATTGTCCATTAGTATATCTTCTTTGGAGAAGTGTCTATTCAAGTACTTTGTCCATTTTTGAACTGGGTTGTTTTTTTGTTGTCAAGTTGTAGGAGTTCTATATATACTTTGGATATTAATCCCTTGTTAGATATATGATTTGCAAATATTTTCTTCCATTCTCCAGGTTTTTTCACTTTCTTGATAGTGTCCTTTGGTGCACAAAAGTTCTTAATTTAATGAAGTTCAATTTACCTACTACTTTTTCTTCCTTGTACTTTTGGTCTCCTATTTATGCAATTGTTGCCAAGTTCAATGTGATGAAGATTTCAACAATATTTTCATCTAAGAGTTTTATAGTTTTAACTCTTAAATTGAGTCTTTGAACCATTTTATTTTATTTTGTTTTATTTTTTGAGATGGAGTCTCACTTTGTCACCCAGGCTTGAGTGCAGTGGTGTGATCTCTGCTTACTACAACCTCCGCCTCCCGGGTTTAACCAATTCTTGTGCCTCAGCCTCCCAAGTATCTGGGATTGCAGGTGCGTGCCACCACACAGGGCTAATTTAATTTTTGTATTTTTAGTAGAGATGGGATTTCACCATGTTAGCCAGGCTGGTCTCGAACTCCTGACCTCAAGTGATCCACCCACCTTGGCCTCTCGAAGTGCTGGGATTACAGACGTGAGCCACTGCACCTGGCCTGAGCCATTTTAATTTTGGTATGTGGTAGAAGGGTCCAACTTCATTTTTTTGCATGTGGATATTCAGTTTTCCCTCTACCATTTGTTGAAAACACTGTCCTTTTCCCATTAAGTGGTCTTGGCTTCCTTGTCAAAAATCAATTAATCATATGTGTGAGGGTTTGTTTCTGGGTTCTGCATTCTATTTCATTGATCTATATGCCTATCCTTATGCAAGTACCATATGTTTTAATTACTGTAGCTTTGTAGTAAGTTCACAGTTGGGAAGTGTGAGTCCTCCAACTTTATTTTTTTTTCAGTATTGTTTTGGTTATTGGAGACCCCTTAAAACTCCATATTAATTTGAGGATCTGCTTCCATTTCTTTGGAAAAAGATGTTGGAATTTTGGTCAGCGTTGTGTTGAATCTGTAGATTGTTTTGAGTAGTATTGACATCTTAACGTTAAGTCTTTCTATCCATGAACACATCTTGCCATTTCTTTAGATATTTGTTAATTTATTTTGATATTTGTTAATTTATTTTAGCAATCTTTTGTAATTTTCAGTGTACAAGTCTTTCCCCTTCTTGGTTAGATTTATTCCTAAGTATTTAATTGTTTTAGATGCTGTTGTAAATGGAATTGTTTTCTCAATTTCCTCTTCAGATTGTTCAGTGCTGGTGCGTAGAACCACGAATTATTTTTGTGTGTTGATCTTGTACCCTGCAATTGGTTTAACTGTAGTAACTGTCTTGTGAATTCTTTTGGATTTTCTATATATGGATCATGTCATCTCTGAATAGAGATAGTTTTACTGCTTTCTTTCCAATTTGGATGCCTTTTATTTCCTTTTTCTGTCTGATAGCTCTGGGTGGAACTTCCAGTATAGTGTTCAATAGCCATGGTGAAAGTGAGCATCTTTGTCTTATTCCTGATCTTAGGGGGAAAGCTTTCAATCTTTCACCATTGAGTATGATGTTAGCTGTGAGTTTTTCATAAATATCATTTATCACATTGAGGAATTTTCCCTGTAGGATTAGTTTTCTGTTTTTTTTTTTTTTTTTTAATCATGAAGGTGTGTTGAATTTTGTTAAGTACCTTTTCTGTATTAATTCAGATGATCATATGTGTGTTTTTTACCTTCATTCTAATAATGTGATGTATTATATTGATTGATTTTCTTGTGTTGAACCACCCTTGCATTCCTGCATAAATCATACTTGGATATGGTGAGTAATCCTTTTAATATGCTAACGGATTTGATTTGCTAATTTTTTTTGAGGATATTTGTATCTATATTCATAGGGGTTTTAGTCTAATTTTCTTGTGATTTTTTTATTTGACTTTGGTATTATGGTAATACTGGCTGCATAGAATGAATTAGAAAGTGTTTCCTTCTCTTCAATTTTTTGGAAGTTTGAAAATGATTTGTGTGAATTCTTCTTTAAATGTTTGGTTGAGCTAACTCGTGAAGCCATCTGGTTTAAGATTTTTCTTTGCTAGGTGGTTTAAAATTAGTGGTATTGCCACTTTCATTTCTAATTTTAGTTATTTGCGTCTTCTCTCTTTTGTGCTTCATCAGTCTCGCCAAAGGTTTGCCAATTTTGTTAATCTTTTCAAAAAACCAACTTTTGGTTTTATAGATTTTTTTGTCTGTTCTCTTTCTCTATTAGTTTCTGCTCTAGTCTCTATTATTTCCTTTCTTCTGCTGGCTTTGGGTTTTGTTTGCTCTACTTTTTCTAGTTCCGTAAGGTGTAAGTCAGGTTATTAATTTGAGATAGTTCTTCTTTTTAACATGTACATTAATAGCTGTTACTTTCCCTCTGAGCACAGTTTTTGGGGCATCTCATAAGTTTTGGCATATTTTGTTTTCTTTCTCACTTGTCACTAAGTATTTTCTAATTTCCTTTGTGATTTCTTCTTTAACCTATTGATTGTTTAAGATAGTGTTGTTTAATTTTCACATATTTGTGAATTTTCATTTTTCCTTCTATTGATTTCTAACTGTATCTTGTTGTGGTCAAAGAAGATAGTTCGTTTTATATTTATTTTAAAATCTACTGAGATTTAACTTATGGCTTAACATGTCATCTATCATAGAGAATGTCTCATGTGCACTTGGATTTTTTTTTAATCGGGTGAGTGTTCCATATGTGTCTGTTAGGTCTATTTGGTTTTTGTGTTATTCAAGTCCACTATATTTTTACTTATTTTCTGTCTGTGTGTTCTATCCATTATCGAAAGTGGGATTTTGAACTCTCCAGCTATCTTGGTAGAACTGTGTATTTCTCCTTTAAGTCTATCAATTTTTGCTTTATATTTTGAAGTCTGTTATTAGGTGCAGAAATGTTTATAACTGTTATATCTTATTAATTTGTAATGTCTGTCTTGTCTCTTGTAAATTGTTTTGATGTAAAGTCAATTTTGTCTGATATTTGCATAGACATTCCAGCTATCTTTTGGTTACTATTTGCATGGAATATCCTTTTCCATCTCTTTTGCTTTGAACATATTTATGTCTTTGGATCTAACACGAATCCTTTATAGACAGCATATTGTTGGGTGATGTTTTTAAAAATACATTCTGGCAATCTCCGTCTTGATTTAAAGAAATGACTATCAGCCAAATTACTGCCACTTTGCT